GTGCCTTAGCCACTTGAGTCACAGGTGCCAAGCCCTCTGATTTAATTTTGGATATGTCTTTTCTTCTGCTGGATTTAGGCTTAGATTGTTCTTCTTTTTCCAATTTCATCAAATGGCTTGTGAATTTGTTGATGCTCTCTCTTTCTGTTTTTTGAATGTAGGCTTCTAAAGCCATGAATTTTCCTCTCAGGACTGCTTTTGCTGTATCCCATAGGTTTTGGTAGCTTGTGTCTTCATTGCTGTTATATTCAAGGAAGTTAAAGATTTCCTTTTTAATTCCTTCCTGCACCCAACTGTCATTCAGCATAAGGTTGTTTAACTTCCATGCCTTTGTGTGAAGTTGAGCATTATTGCTGGAGTTGAGTTCCACTTTTAGTGCCTTGTGGTCTGAAAAGATGTAAGGTAGAATTTCATTTCTTTTGATTTTGTTGAGGTTTGCTTTGTGTCCTAGGATATCATCAATTTTGGAGAATGTTCCATGGGACGATGAGAAGAATATATATTCTTTATCTTTGGGATGGAACGTTCTATATATGTCTATCAAGCACAGTTGTTCTAGGGTCTCATTTAAATCTCTAATACCTTTGTTTAATTTCTGTTTAGAGGATCTGTCCAGCTCTGAGAGAGGGGTGTTAAAGTCCCCTGTTATTATTTTGTTATAGGATGTCATATTGCTCAGACTAAGCAAGGTCTGTTTCAAGAATCTGGGAGCATTTAAATTGGATGCTAAATATTTAGAATTAAAATGTCTTCTTGTTGTATTTTTCCCTTGACCAGTATGAAGTGACCATTATTGTCTTTTGTAACTTTAGTTGCTTTAAATCCACACGTATCTGAAAATAAGATTGTAACCCCTGTTTTCTTCTGACTTCCATTTGCCTGAAAAATTGATTTTCAACCCTTAACTCTGAGTTTTAATTTGTCTTTCGACGTGAGGTGAGTTTCCTGCAGACAGCAAATAGATGGCTTATGTTTTTGTTAATCCAGTCAGCCAATCCGTGCCTCTTCAGTGGGGAATTCAAGCCATTAGCATTAATTGAGATAATTGATAAGTGTGGTAGCGTTATATTCATCTTATTTTGTGAAAGTCCATTGCTTAGTTTTGTCTTTTACATCATTGTGGAAACTAGGTTCTGTCCTTTAATTTCTGGGTGTTTGCTTTGCTGAAGTTCCATTGTGATGGTCAATGTGTAGGACAGGTTGAACTATTTCCTGTAAAGCTGGTCTTGTTGTGGCAAATTTCCTCAGTGTTTGCATATCAATAAAAGATTTGAATTCTCCATCAATTTTAAAGCTTAGTTTAGCAGGATATAGAATTCTGGGTTGGAAATTGTTCTGTTTAAGTAGGTTAAAGATAGATGACCATCGTCTTCTAGCTTGAAAAGTTTCATTAGAAGGTCCATGGTCACCCTGATGGATTTGTCCCTGTAGCTCAGTTTGTGCTGACTCCTGGCAGCCTGCAAAATCTTTGCTTTTGTCTTGACTTTAGATAAATTCATCATAATATGCCTTGAAGAAGGTCTATTTGAGTTGAGGTGACCAGGGGACCGATATCCTTCTGAAAGGAGTATGACAGAATCTTGGGTGGTATTTGGGAAATTTTCATTTATAATATTCTTCCATTCCTTTGGGGCATTCTTCCCCTTCTGGGATACCTATAATTTGTATGTTTGAATGCTTCATAGAGTCCCACAATTCTATCAGTGGGACGTTCTGCTTACTCTCTCTTCTTTTCAGCCACTTTGACTATCTGAGTTATCTCGAGAGCTTTATCCTCTACCTCTGAGATTCTTTCTTCTGCATGATCTAATCTGTTGTTGAAACTTTCTATTGCATCTTTAAGTTCCCTCATTGACTACTTCATTTCCTTCAGCTCTGCTATATCCTTTCTGTATTCTTCATATCATTCATCTCTTATTTGATTCTGTTTTTGAATTTCCTTTTGGTTATTATCCACTTTCTCAGCAATTTCTTTCATTGTTTTTTGATTGTTTTCAACTTTCTCAGCAATTTCCTTCATTTTCATCATCTGTATTTTAAATTCCCCTTCTGTCATTTCTAACATTTCTTTGTAGGAGGAACCCTCTGCTCGCGATCCCTAGAAGGGGTTACTCTGGATTGGCATTTCATGTTGCCAGGATTTTTCTGCTGATTCTACTTCATGAGTGCTTTCTTATATCTGTTTCCTTACCCTAATTTTCCTTGCACTTCTTCTTGCTCTAAGTTACTTCTTGCCACTGGCCTAAAGTTTTAATGAGTCCTTTTGGTATAAGACCAGAGGGATGAGAAGATTGAGGAGCAAGAAGGGAGAAAAGATTTAAAAAGAGAGCGAGAAAGAAGAGGGGGTGAGTAAAAAGAAATATTGATAAAGAGGAGAAAGGCACAAAAAGAAACAAACAGGAGTAATATAGGTGTATAGTAGGGTACTGTGAGCCACCCTTAAAGAACCCCAACCTCTGGGGGTTCCGGGTTGAGTGATTCCTTTGAGGTCAACAGCTCTTTGCCAGCTGGCTCAGGCACAGTACCCCACCTCTACCAGGTAGAAAGGAAAGACAAAAATACTATAAATCAAACCAAAACAAGCAGAAACACTGGCAAAAATGAAATATTCTAATTATTAAAGAAGGCAAAAATGGAAGATTGTATTTAGACTAGAATAATGAAAAAAGGGGAAAAAATGTTGAAATTAAGAAAAAAAACCAAAAACCCCAAAATCAAAAAGTATATAAATCTTGGTAAATACTGTCCGAGCAACAGGTGATCTTCGGAGAAACGAGAAGTTAATCCCAATGTTGATACAGCTGTACGAGATGGAGACTAGGGGCCTCCGCTGATTTCACAGACCCCTTAGGCTTAGGAGCCCAAATGTCTCCTCAGCCCACTTAAAAGACACTCTATGAACCTTGGCAACCATGAACCTTGGCCAAGCAGAAGCTTTCCAAGGAAACCACTTATTCCTGGGATCTCTCCTGGCATGGCTGACTGCTTATCTAGTGCACCAAATCCAGTTTCCCTCAATGTCCCTGAGGGCCAAGGTTGTTAGTCTGCCAAACACTTGGATCTCCCCACTTCCCCGCATCTCAGTCCCCATCTTTGGGCAGCTCAGTCACTAGATTACTCGCCCAAGGTCTCCTGACTGATCCCCGCACTGCAACTGGCAGGGGCAGGTCCCCCATAGTAACTGTGTGGGCAGCCCACAGCTGAACGGCATTAGCTCCTTAGCGGCTCAGCGGCTCAGTCCAGGGCCCCAGACAACGCCCAAAGTCATCCGCACACCAGCCCAAGATCTCCCAAGGCAGGTCAATCCAGTGCCCAAGTCCAAAAAAACCAAAACAGCTCCCAGGCAAGGCTCTTCCCACTTGCAGTCTCGCATTTGCCACAGCTGCAGGCAGCGTCCGACCGAACAAATGCACCCACCACTTGTCAGTTTTCCACCGATTCCCTCCTCCTTGTGGGGTCCAGAAGGCTCTCGCTGACTTCCTGGATCACCAGAAGGCAGCCAGAGATGCCTGGAGTCTTCTCTCCCCACTCTCACTGCAACTGGTTACACAGAAGCTGCTACTTGGCTGCCATCTTGATTAGATCTGTACCTAACTCTTAAGAGCTATTTTCAAACTGCGTTCCCCAAAGACTAGTAACTTTCACATTTTAATTTTTTTCAAATTCAGTAAAATGTTTTCAGAGAACATCAAACTGGGAACTGAGAACCCTGTGTCCCAGTTCTGGCTCTGCTGTGTGAAGTTGGGCAAATAATATACTCACATATGACCTCGGGGGGATGATTTGAGAGGTCTGTCAAACACAAGGGTTTTATGGTTGCTGCAGGGGTGCAGTCTTAAGGAATTACATCCTTTTTTCCTTCACATTACTTCTCAGAGGAATGCGGGAACCTGGAAAGGCTGTGCATCTCTGAAGAAGACAGACATTGCTGGACAGACCCTGGTCTTATCTGTTCCTTTTACCTCTGAGCCCAGAGTTGAAATCTCGGTTGTGTTGGGCCAGGACCTGAAGTGTTTAAGAACTGCCATATTTTGCCCTATATAATCCATGTTTTTTTGCCCCCATTTTTGATGGAAAAATAAGGTGTGCAAATAAGGTAGTATGGCTTGGGAGTGGAGGAACCCAGCAGTCCTCCGGGGCCTGCCTGCCCTCCCTCCTGGGTGTACTGGGTGCATGGGGTTCCAGTTTAGGAGGATCTAGGATCCAGTAGGAGCAGACCAAAGCAGCCTCTGCTGAGTGCCATGGTCGGGAATGGGGGTGTTGGCTGGGCAAGAGCCAAGGCCTGAGGCCCCAGCTATATGAAGGAGACCAGGAATCCCATGCAGACTCCAGGAATCCACCTGCCTGCCCATAGGCCAAGCAGCCTCAGAAGCTCCCACCCCAGCAGCCACACCCCTTACCATCTTGGCCATAGCCACCAATGGAGCAGGGAAGAAAAGGGCTCTCGGCAGGGAGAGAGAAGAGCCAGCCTTCAAAGAACGAGCAGGTCCTGGCCCAACACAACCAAGATTCCAACTCTGGGCTCAGAGGTAAAAGGAACAGATAAGACCAGGGTCTGTCCAGCAATGTCTGTCTTCTTCAGAGATGCACAGCCTTTCCAGGTTCCCGCATTCCTCTGAGAAGTAATGTGAAGGAAAAAAGGATGTAATTCCTTAAGACTGCACCCCTGCAGCTATAGGAGGGCTATGCGATCTACACATTTACCAGGGGAGCATTAGTCCTCCCCACATGTGTCTTTCCTGGGGAAGAGCTGGCCACTTTCTCAAAAGGGATTTTCCTAAAGTTTGGGCCAAAAACATGGATGTATGTCGTGCATGAATGCATTATATATGGCAAAATACGGTATTTCTCAGCGATTTCTAGAATTTTGCATCAAATTCCCCTTGCATTTACTTAACTAGAACTTTAGGCAAACTCAGCTAAGCTGAGGCCTTTGGAAAGAGCAGTTGTGACACTAAAGTTGCTGCTGATCACCCACCTGTCCTCCAACCTGCCCCCAGGTATGCCGGCATGTAAAAAATGGGGACATTCTCCTACTGAACCGACAGCCCACTCTGCACAGACCTTCCATCCAAGCCCACCGTGCTCGCATCCTGCCTGAAGAGAAAGTCCTACGGCTCCACTATGCTAACTGCAAGGCCTATAACGCAGACTTTGATGGAGATGAGATGAATGCCCACTTCCCCCAGAATGAGCTGGGCCGGGCTGAGGCCTATGTCCTGGCCTGCACCGATCAACAGTACCTTGTTCCCAAGGTAGGTCTGGCCTTGAGGCTGTTCACGGTCATCATCACCATGACTTGGCACTTTGAACCTGGGTCCTTGCCAGCTCGGGGTCAGTGGGCAGCTCTAGGGCAGGGGGATAGTGGCAGAAGTTCCTGATATCTTCTAGGTAGGGTATGTAGCCTGCTAGCTGCTTAGAGGCAAAGAAATGCTATATCTCAAAATGTATGCCAGGAGAGAAATTGTGATGACCATCCCAAAAAGCCAAGTTTAATAGCTACATAGTATGTCTTGTCTTCCTGGCTTATGTTTGGATTCTACAACTTATTAGCCCCTGGCAAGCATCAGCATCCCAACTTTGATGGTCCTCCTGGTCCACAGATGACTTTCATCCTTTGAGTTCTAACATGCATAGAGTTTAAAGTGGCAGCGTAACCCCAAGGGCCCAGATGGGATTCCCCGGCAGTCCATGAAGGCTCTCCTCTCCTCTTTGAACTCCTTCCTTGTTTTTCCAGAATTGGTCCTTCAGGGCAGCCCTATGTAGTCAGGGCTGTCCAGAGGGACATATAAGAAGGATTTAACTTTGACTCATGGCCAGGAGTGGCAGGGGCCCAAGTCATCTTGTGCTTATGAGAAGAATAGAGCTAGGAAGTAGGCAGGCTATGGGAAAAGGACAAAGTATATGCCAGTCCCCTCTTACCCCTCACCATCCACCTAAGGGTCTTTTATATTATAAGCTGTTTGCATCACAGTGATTCACTGTTGAGCATCATTCATTTGGATTGTGCTAGAGTATAAAAGTATAAGTAGTAATAATAATATAAACCATAGCTACCATTTCCCGCGTACTTAGAGATGTCCAGCATCAATTAGCATGCTCTACTCGGTGGAATGCCTCTGCCTCCATCAGCCATCTGCCCACCCCCCAAGGAATCAGGCAGATGGCCAGGAGCTCAGCATCCCAGTCCTTTTGCCCACAGACATACCACTGTGGCTTCAGGTGGGTTCAACTTTTTTTGAATTGACCTTTCCCTTCTGTGCTCACCTTAGTAGGCTGTTTGTTAGTAAGGAAACTAAATGTAAGAAGAAGAGGTAAAGGGCCCGCTTTGATCACAAGTTTACTGATTTGAAAATTTCCCTTTTTGTGCTTTTTACTTACTAATAACAGCAACGGCTATGGTGGTGGTAGCAGGCAAAGCCAACATTTGGTGAACAGAGCCTCAAGCACTGCTATAAGTAGTTTGCAAACCTTTTCTTATAGAGCCCTCACAGCAGCTTTTTGGGGTAGGTGTGATTTTTAGTTGAGGAAACCCCTAGTGAGTAACCCGTCAGCCAGCAGTGAGGCCAAGTCTCCAGCCCAGGACCTTCGGTATTCTGGGCTCATATACTCAGCTGCATGTGTTCTGAGCCCTACTCCCTGGACTGTGCTGGCTCTCTCATTCTCTGAAGCCGAGTCATATTTCACCAGAGGGGACACTACCAAGGAGCAGTAGATGTTTTTTTGCTAGCTGAGTGACCTGAAAGCAATAGCTACATGAGGAATTGAGGCAATGGGCTGGCTTATTTAAATCCATATGGGCCTTGTCACAGGCTCATATACCTATGAGTTTTGGGTCAGGCTTGCACTCAAGAGAGACAGGAGAATACAGGTAAGTAAAGTGTATAAATTAATTATTTTTAAGTAAAAAATAACTTGTGGGGATTTGTGCATTTAAAATAAGTTTCTCCTATTAGAGAGAAAGAGCTTTTGATTCTTGATAAATTTTATTTACTCCTTGGTATAAATGCTAGAAAGTAGAATCTTTGTATTTACTAATAATTATAAAAATAAAATATGGTTTTGGTAGCAAAATCCTAAGAGAACAAGAGCTAATTTGGTTAAACTAGGAAAGCCAGGCTGGGTGCCATGGCTCCCACCTGTAATCCTAGCACTGTGGGAGTCTGAGGCAGGTGGATTGCTTGAGCTCACAAGTTTAAGACCAGACTGAGCAAGAGTGAGACCCTGTCTCTACTAAAAATAGAAAAACTGAAGGAAGAGAATAACTTGAGCCCCAAGAGTTAGAGGTTGCTGTGAGCTGTGATGATTCCACGGTGCTGTACCAGGGCGACAGCTTGAGACTCTTTTCTCAAAAAAAAAAAGGAAAGGAAAGGGAAAAAAAAACTACTGTGTTTCCCCGAAAATAAGACACTGTCTTATATTTATTTATTCTCAAGAAGACACGCTAGGGCTTATTTTCAGGGGATATCTTATTTTTATTAAGAATAATACAACAATCTACATCTATTCAAATACAATTAAGTATCTGGAACCTGAAAGGGGGAGCCGACCTTGTTGGTGGGGCTGGCGCTAGTGATGTGTGAACTCCTTTCCCCTAGCCATTCACACGTGTGCAATAGGATGTCTGCCACTGTGGTTACCACACGCGCACCCGCACAAGTGCAAATGGCTCAGAGAAAGGAGCTGTGGCAGATAAAAGGTATTCCAGTCTTCCTTATCACTCTGTGAAATGCATGGCCAGCCTATCACTAGGTCTTATTATTGGGGTAGGGCTTATACTTAACAAATGCATAGAAATCCTGCTAGGGCTTATTTTTGGGGTAGGTCTTATTTTTAGGGAAACACAGTAGGAAAGCCAGTTTGGGGAGATCATTTTTCTTAATGTATTGTTATTTCCATTTGTATCCATTTTTCTTTGTCATTCTTCCATTTCTTCTCTATTTCTAGGTTCTATTCCCTAACTAACCATAATAACCAGATTATACATTTCATTGTTGGTTTTATATACTTAATAGAGTTTTGTGTTGTCTTTTTACTTAAAATAGGAGTTGAATGGCACTCTGGCTACTTCTTTTCCCAAAAAATAGTTAAAGTTTTCATGTATGGGCTTCTTAGGGGATTAATTTCTTTCTTCTCTTTGTTATATTTATGGAGGGCCCGTGCTTTATGGAAAGTTTTTAGACAAGGCTTGAGATACAGTTTCCTGACTTTTACTTAATCAGCTAGAATACTCAAGTCATAGAATACCCTATTCTCAAAGCATCCTGACCAAAGACATTTATTGTAATGTCATGTTGCTGTGCTATTAAGTGGAATAGTATAGCTGACAATTTTCTGGGATTTTGATTCAAAGATGTTCTTTCTGATCCTAAGTGTGACTTAGAAAATTCAGAATTATAAATAGACCTTCAGTAGTTGCTTTAATCAGCACTCCTTCCTAGAATTTGTTATTATTGCATTGAAAGCATTTAGCCATTAAAGTAATTTCCTACTCATGGAAAAATCTGGATAGAGTGAGGAAGAGGCACTGAATATATCACATAACTTGTAATTATGTTCTTTAAAGGAAGAAAACAAAAGGAAAAATTTGTGTTTCCCCTAGAGACTCTGGGATGGATGAGTCAAATGCGTAATACTGGTTTGAGTTTTTCCCCAAAACGAAGTAAGAACATCTATGGACTGAAATGTAGAATGTAATTTTTTTAAGCATTAAAAAGTCAAAACCTTCATAGGAAAGGCTATGTTTTCCGCCTGCCCTTGCTTTACATGTGTGCCACTGTTACGGCCCAGCTGTAATAGTTGTGCCTTTCTTTACATAGCCCATCACCATTTGACGGGAATCCTCTTTGACCTTGGAATTAGTACATATGGTTAAATTCTTGGTATTTCTCCAATGGCTGCATTTGTGACTTCCCTTACCCTTAGTTATGAAACATGGGCCATGCTATTAACTAGTATTTATTATAACAAATAATTAAATGATTACAATCTTTAGATCCAGAGCATAGGTTTTCCCAAATTCCTGTAAACATTGGAAAGTTTGTAAAAACTACTTCTTCAAGAACACCAGTGACCATAGCTGTTTTTACTTCAGTGCATCTTCTGTTGGCATGAACACAAACCCAACTGATACGATTTAGGAGCCATTCTGAATGGCTGTGAAGTGTCAAGTGAAATCAACGTGCTCACTCACGCCTGTTTTGGCGTCAGGTAGATAACATCCTTTATTAAGCGGCCTATGTTGAACCACATGCTGTATTATGAAGACCGTCTAATAAGGGACGTTCTTTCCTTTATGGTATGTGCATTGAGGGCCTCTCAATGCCTCTCTAGGAACTCTGACTGAACCCCTCCCTCCCTGAACTGGCCCACTCCAACTTACTCCTCAAGTAAACTCAGGCCCCAGCTATAATCCTGCTCCTCAGACCATTCCTCACCACCACCACTAAGTCTATATTGTGACCCATCCTGTTATTTTTCTCTGTAGCATTTAAAACCCTTCATGAGAATATATTTGTCCAGTCATTTGTTTACCATCTAGCTCTTCCTTATGAAGGACTGTGTCTGTTTTGCCCACTAGAATAGGCCAGACGTCTACCCAGGCCTACACGAGGCTCTCAATAAATATTTGTTGAATGGATGATTGATTTATAGGAGAAGCAGGCCAGAAATGTGTGAAAAATACTAAGGCATAAAACCAAAGTATAAAAACAAGAACACAGCTAACAGCAGCCAGACCAAATTTATGCATAAATGCCAAAACTTTGGTGGAGTAACTAGAACCAGATGGGATTAAGCAGAGAAGGCTTAGGAAACTGGATGAGTCTGAAGTAGTTTTGACATAGGACAGTGGGCAAGTGGCAAAAGTGGAGGCCAATGGTAAGCCCTGGTCACATGCTTTGGGAGACAGTTTGTTACCAACAAGTGCATAGTGAGGACATGGACAGGACAGGACAGATATATGGAGGACTATTGCTAGAAGGTAGCTTCAAAGCAGATGATTAAGAATTTGAGTTTGTCTTAAAATTTATCTTCATTCTTTTCTTGTCTGTTGGTTTATAGGATGGCCAGCCCTTGGCAGGATTGATCCAGGATCACATGGTTTCAGGTACAAGCATGACTACCCGGTGTTGTTTTTTCACCCGGGAGCAATATATGGAGCTGGTGTACCGAGGACTCACGGACAAAGTGGGGCGTGTGAAACTCTTTCCTCCTGCCATTCTGAAACCCTTTCCACTGTGGACAGGAAAGCAGGTAATTGGGAGAAAATACCAAGTATATATAACAAAAGGAAATAGGCCACTCATGTAAAGCATTTCATTTCTTGGAGAGCCCATGCCAGAGACAAAAAAATAGGTAATGAAGCAATAGTCTAACTTTCCTTTCCCTTAGTTTGGGGCTCCTGAGTCTGGGTAGTATCTTAGGGAGTGTCTACTGAGAGTAGGCAACATAGTTTCTGTCCCTTGTTTCTAACTTCAACTTGGTGTCATCATACCAAGTACAGTGGTAGTGATCAGTGGTGCCAGTAGTAATAGTAGTAGTAAAATTTGTTGGGAAATACAGAGCTCTTTGCTGAGTGCATTAAATACCTACATAGTCCGATTTAACTCCCACAACTAACATGCAGTGCCAAGACCATTATTATCTACCTTTAGGAGTAATAAGTTAACATGCCCAGGGTTATAGCAGACAAAACTGGGGTTCAAAGTCAGGACTTTTCAACTCCCAAAGCATCATACCATACTTCCCTCAGAGTAACCAAATCAATATATGTGGTGATCAAATAATGAAATACAGTAAAATATGTCCTTCTACCATTGGCTGAGCCTTGTCAAGTTCAGCTTTAAGGGACAACTTCTAGTTGGTTATTTGATCTTGGCTCTGTGGGTCTCCATTCCTCATCCATGAAAAGAGGGGTTCAAGTTGATGATCTCTAAGGGTCTCTTCTAGCTCTGTAGTTCTTTAAGTCTGCCGACCTGGGACTTGACAGGTTTCAATTGTGAAGTCAACCTTGCATTCCTAGGATAAACCTTCCTTGGTCATGATGTAGTACCTGTTTGGTATATTATTTGAATTCAACTTGCTAAAATTTTATTTAGAATATTTTTACATATGTGTTCATCAGGGGATATTGATCTGTAGTTTTCTTGTACAGGCAATACCTACGTTATGAATGAGATAAGTTCTGTAGGTTTGTTCTTAAGCCAAATTTGTGTGTAAATTGGAACAAGTACATTTACCTATTACCTATAATTGCCTCCGTCTGTGTGAATAGCCTCCATTTGTGTGAAGTGTACATCAGTCAGATGTTTGTAACTTGGGGACTTACTGTAACAGCCTCTGTTTATAAGTGCAAGTTGGACAAAAGTCGAATGTTTGTAAGTGAGATTGCCTGTGATATCTTTGTCTGGTTTTGGTGTCAGGGTAATGCTGGCCTCATAGAATGACATGAGAAGTTTTTTCTCATTTGTGTAAATGGCATTGATATTATCTTTTCCTTAAATGTTTGGTAGAATTCACTAATGAAGGCATCTAGGCCTAGAGTTTCTTTATGGAAAGGTTTTGACTGAAATTTCTATTTCTTTAATAAGCATAGAGCCAGGCCAGTATCTATTTCTTCTTGAAGAAGCTATGGTAGGTTGTGTTTTTCAGTCTGCCTAGAGATTTATCAGTTTTATTGCTCTCAAAGAACCAGCATTTTAATTGACTTTATTGTTTTTCTGTTTTCTGTTTTATTGACAACACTCTGATATTTATTATTTCTTTTCTTCTGTTTACTTGGGATTTAATATGTTCTTTTTCTACTTAAAGTTGAAGCTGAACTTACTGATTTGACGTACTTTTTCTTTAACTTTGGCTCTTTATATATAAATTTCCCCTGAAATTCTACCTAAGTGGCATCCTACATATTATATGTTTTTTTCATTTTCATCACTTCAGAAAACTTTCTAGTTTCTCTTTCGATGTTTTTTTTTTTTTTTGACCCATGAGTTATTTGGAAGTACATTACTTAGTTTCCAAATATTTATAAGATTTTTCACATATCTTGGTTACTAATTTTCACTTTAATTCCATTATGGCTGGAGACCATACTTGGATTCTTTTAAAATCTTTTATGTTAAATCAAATTTGAAAATAGGCCCATGTTTTTGCTTCTGTCATAGGTGGGATTTTTTAGTGTTTCTTGAAAGGCTGCTAAAGGATATATTTTTGCAAATAGTTGAAAAGGGCAAGAGTGACTACATTGCACAAGAATTTGCTAATGGGTCATTCTGGTTCTGCAGAAAAAAAACATGTTTACAATTAGGAGATAAGGAACTTAGCTTAGGAAGTTTATTTCTAACGTTCCAGAAAATGAAGTCTTAGACGTTTCATATAGTCTCTTGAGTCTTGAGTGCTTTTCTTTCCTTGTGCAAATCAAAAGTCTGGCATCATTTATTGAAAGAGCATGCAAAGAAAGAGAATTTGGGCTGGGCATAGTGGCTTACATCTGTAACCCTAGTGCTCTGGGAGGCCAAAGGAAGATGATCACTTGAGCTCAGGAGTTCCACACCAACCTGAGCAAGAGCAAGAACTTATCTCTACTAAAAATAGAAAAATTAGCCAGGCGTGGTGGCATGCACCTATACGCCTATCTACTTGGGAGGCTCAGGCGGAAGGATCCCTTCAGTCCAGGAGTTTGAGGTTGCTCTGACCTAAGCTGACACCATAGCACTCTAGCCTGGGCAGCAGAGTGAGATTCTGTCTCCTAAAAAAAAAAAAAAAAATTGCCTACTGTTGCAAATCTCTAACATATAGCTCAATGAACATTCATGTAATGAATATAAACTATCACTCAGATTAGAAAGTAGAATATTGTCAGCACCCTTTTAAGAATCCCCTATGATCTCTCCTAGTTTCTTCCCCTCCCCAAAGGTAATACTAACATGGCTTCTAGCACTATGGATAAGTTTTATGTTCTCTCGAACTTTATATAAATGGAATCATATAGTATATAATACCTTTGTGTGTTACCCATGTTGTTGAAATAGCAGTAGTTGGCTCGGCGCCTGTGGCTCAAGTGGCTAAGGCGCCAGCTACATACACCTAAGGTGGTGGGTTTGAATCCAGCCCGGGCCCACCAAACAACGATGGCTGCAACCAAAAAATAGCCAGGCATTGTGGCGGGTGCCTGTGGTTCCAGCTACTTGGGAGGCAGAGGCAGGAGACTGCTTGAGCTCAGGAGTTGGAGGTTGCTGTGAGCTGTCATGCCACAGCACTCTACCCAGTGTGACAGCTTGAGGCTCTGTCTAAAAAAAAAAAAAGAAAGAAATAGCAGTAGTTTATTCACTTTTGTTGCTCTAAAATATTACATTATATGACCACATCTTCATACTTACCCCATTTACCATTTATGGACATTTGTGTTGTATTTAGTTTTCTTCATTTGGCTATTACAAGTAGGGCTACTGTGAACATTCTTGTATGTGTCTTTTGTTGATTGTATATGCATTTCAGTGGGTAAATACCAAGGCATAAAATTGCTGAGTCATAAGATAAATGTTCAAGTTTAATAGATATCTTAATAAACAGTTTTCCAAAATGCTTATAGTAATATGCACTTCCACCAGCAGGGCATGAGAGTTTTGGTTGCTCCTTACTTTAGCAGAATTGGATATTATTGTAGGGTTTTTTTCCCCTTTCTTATCCATTAATTAATTTTAGCCATTCAGATGTGCAATGGTACCTTATTGTTTTGGGGTTTTTTTGTTTTTTGAGACAGAGCCTCACTCTGTCACCCTGGGTAGAGTGCCATAGCATCATAGCTCACAGCAACCTAAAAATTCTTGGGTTCAAGTGATCCTTTTGCCTCAGCCTCCCCAGTAGTTACAACTATAGATGCCCACCACAACACTCAGCTATTTTTATAGATGGGGGTTTCACTTTTGCTCAGGCTGATTTTGAACTAGGTTTTTAAAAATGTATTTAGGTGGCTTGGCACCTGTAGCTCAGTGAGTAGATATATTTACATTATTGAATCTTACAAATTATGAACATAGTACGTCCTTCAATTAGGTAAAAGTTTTATTCATCTTTTTGTTAGATTCATTCTTGGATGTTGTAATTATAGATAATATTGTTTATTACATTTTCCCATAGTTGATTAAATTTATAGTTGGTATATAGAAATACAGTTAATTGTGTATATTGTCCTTGTATTCAGCAACCTTGCTGAGTTCAGTTATTGTATCTCCACCCTTTAAATTCTTTTTACCTTAGAAGTAAGTTTGTTGTTAAATAAAAATATAAAAATGTAAAAGAGAAAAGGGAAATCCTTTCTCTCTCCTCAGCCTCACTATCCATATCCACATATACCCCCATAGAAAATAAATAAGAATAGGATCATGTGATACTGTCTCTGGGGCTTCTCAGAAGAACCATGGGTCATGATTAAATCTGACATTCAATTTTGAATTGAATGTGTTTAAAATCGCCTCCTTAACCAGAACATCCTGGTACCTTAAACATGCATTTCCCTAAATGCTAATCGAGTTTTTCTCTCATGTAGTTGTTAATCTACTTGTTCCGATTTAGAACTAAATACATGTGATGCTTATTTTTCCAATCTTGCCATACTTCTATTAGTAGAGTGTTCTCCAGATCCATCCATGTTGTTACTAAAGATACAAAATGTACATCTTTTTTATGGCTGAAATAGATTCCATTATATACATATACCACATTTATTAATCCATTCATGTGTTGAAGGATGTTTCCACATCTTTGTGATTGTGAATTGTATTCAAGCAATCTGTATTTTTAATTTGAACCACCCTAAAATGTTCCAATTATGGCAAGTAGTTCATTTAACTGTTTTTGTGTGCTATGTTGATGGAAAGTTTTTTATAATTGCTTTGTGATTTAATTAGTTCACTTGGTACATTGGAGGTGGGGGTCTTCTGTGGCTCCACAAGTAGATCCACCTCATTCTTTTTAACTCTCCCCATGTTGTATTCAACGATAGGGATGTGTCATAGTAGATTTAACTGTCCTTCTGTTAGTGGATGTTTAGATTGTTGCCTGGTTTTTATTATTCTAACCAGTGCTGAGTGAACACCCATTTCTGTTGATGCTAGTGCACTTGCATTAGCATATATTTTAAATAAATTCCTAGAAATATGATCACTGGGTCAAAGGATATACACATTTTCAAAATATTAAAAAAAACTAAATCCACTTAAAACATAGCTTCAGGGCGGCGCCTGTGGCTCAGTGCGTAAGGTGCTGGCCCCATATACCAAGGGTGGCAGGTTCAAACCCAGCTCCGGCCAAATTGCAACAAAAAAATAGCCAGGCATTGTGGCGGACGCCTGCAGTCCCAGCTACTTGGGAGGCTAAGGCAAGAGAATCACCTAAGCCCAGGAGTTGGAGATTGCTGTGAGCTGTGTGATGCCACAGCTCTCTACCAAGGGTGATAAAGTGAGACTCTGTCTCTACCAAAAAAAAAACATAGCTTCATGTAACTTACAATTCACATAGGTATTTCTAACCTTCACAGTTTAACAGAATGTTGTAGATGTTTATCTTTCTCTCTAACATAGTTTTTGACCAGAATTGTACATTTCTAGAATGTTAGGGCAGAAAGGGACCTTAATTTATCTTGTCTGATTCCCTTGGGCTTTTAAAATTTAGATATAATTCACATTCAACATAGAATTTACCTTTTGGAAGTATTTATTTCAGTGTTTTGTTTTGTTTTGTTTTTTGGTATATTCACTGTGTTGTACAACCATTACCACTATATAATTCCAGAACATTTCTATCACCCCAGAAAGAAATCCTTTATCTATCAACAGTCAATCTCAATTCCTCCTTCCTCCCCTTCTCTTGTCAACTTCTTTCTTGTGCTATGAATTTTGGTTTTGGGCATTTCATATAAATGATATCGAATGATGTGTGGCGTTTTGTGGCTTGCTTTTTTTAAATTTTTATTATTAGTATTATTATTATTATTGAAACAGGATCTTGCTCTGTCACTTGGGTAGAGTACAGTGGTGGTGTCATCATAGCTCACTGCAACCTCATACTCCTCAGCTCAAACAATCCTCCAGCCTTAGCCTCCCTCCCAAGTAGCTGGGACAACAAGCACATGCTACCATTCCTAACTGATTTTTCTATTTTTTGTAGAGACAGGGTCTAGCTCTTGCTCAGGCTGATCTCAGACTCCTAGCCTCAAGTGATCCTTCCACTTTGGCCTTCCAGAGTACTAGGATTAGCCATTTGTCCATTGATAAATGGATGATTTGGGTTGTTTCCACTTTTTGGATATTACAAATAAGCCTGCAATGAACATTTGCATATGAACCTTTGTGTGAACTGTATTTTCAGTTTTCTTGGGTATATAGCTAAGAGTGGAATAGCTGGGTTATATAAAATTCCATGTTTAACTTTTTTGAGAAATTTTCAAACTGTTTTCATAGCAGCATTTTACATTCCTACCAGCAATGGATGAGGGTTCCAATTTCTCCACATTCTCACCAACACTTACTTTTTGCTTTTTTTTAAATAGCCATCTTGGTATCTCATTTTGATTTGCATTTCCTTAGTGACTAATGATATGGAGCATCTTTTCACATGTTTATTGGCCATTTGTAATACCTTCTTAGGAGAAATACCTATATGAGCTCTTGCATATTTGTTAATTGGCTTTGTTTTTGTTGATAAGTTATAAGAGTTCTTTATATATTCTGGCTGTCAGACCTGTATTATGCCTATGATTTGTAAAAATTTTGTCCATTCTGTAGGAATTTTGAAGTCCAATTCATGTGTTTATTTTGTTGCTTTTCTGCTTCTAGTATCATATCTAAGAAATTGTTGCTTTAACCCAGCAGTTCTCAACCTGTGGGTTGCAACCCCTTTTTAACAATGAAAATATATTGTGGCTTTAGGAAGATTGAGAACCGCTGCTTTAACCAAAGCCATGCAGATGTACTGCTATGTTTCTGTCTAAGCCTCTTATTAGTTTTGGACTTTGCATTGAAGTCTTTGATACATTCTATAGATGTGTAGAAAGTTTCAAGTCTGTTAAGTGTGAGCTTTTCCAGCCTTATTCTTTTCTAACATGACTTTGGGATCCCTTGCATTTCCATATAAATTTTAAGGTCATCTTGTTTGTTTCCAGAAAACTAGTAGTTGGAATTTTATTCGAAATTGCGGCTTGCTATATACAGATCACAATAGATAGATAATATAGATCAATTTGAGGAATGATGTCATCTTTCAATTTTTCAATTTATGATGTTTTTACATTTACACACAGATCTCAAAGATAATGTGGGTTTGGTTTCAGCCCACTGCAATACAGCAAATATCACAGTGAAGCAAATCATATTATTGAGCAGTAGATCTCAACAGTGGGCTTAAAATACTCAGTAAACCATGCTGTAAACAGGTGTGCTGTCATCCAGGCTTTGTTTTTCCATTTGTAGAGCACAGGCAAAGAATTTTTAACATAATTCTTATCAGCCCTAGGATTTTTAGAATGGAAAATGAGTACCAGCTTCAGCTTAGTCACCAGCTATGTTAGCTTCTGACAAGAAGGTCAGCCAGTTCTTTGAAGCTTTGAAGCTATGTGTTGACTATTTCACTGTAAAAGTCCTAGGTGACATCTTCTGATAAAAGACTGTTTCATCTGCATTGAAAATCTGTTAGTGTTAGCCACCTTTATCAGTGATCTTTGCTAAATTTCTCTAGAATGTACTGCAGCTTCTACATCAGGACTTGCTGCTTCACCTTGCACTTTTAGGTTATGAAGACCTCATAAACCTTGTACTAGCTTCCAGCTTTTCTTATATAGCTTCCTCACCTCTCAGCCTTTATACAGTTAGGTCCTTGTCCTGGATTAGGCTTTGGCTTAAGGGAGTGTTTTGGCTGGTTTGACCTTTTATGCAGACCACTAAAACTTTCTCCCTAAGATTGTTTCACTTTCCTGTTATTCATGCCTTCACTGGAATAGCACTTTTAATTTTCTTTAGGAACTTTTTCCTTTATATTCACAAGTTGCCTGAGTGGTGCCAGAGCCCTAGCTGATGGCTCGTGTCAGCTTTTCACATGCCTTCCTCGCTAAGCTTAATCATTTCTAAGTTTTGAGCTAAAGTGACAGATATATGGCTCTTCTTTTCACTTAAATGCCATCATAGAGTTATTAATTGGCCTAATTTCAGTATTCTTGTGTGTAAGAGAATAGGCCTGAAGAGAGAGAGAGAAATGAGGGCATGGCTGGTTGGTGAAGCAGTCAGAATACATACAACATGTGCTGATTAAGTTACAGGCACTGTTTACTTTCTTCTTCTTTCTTTGGTCTATTCAGGGATTTAAATCAAGTTTAGGGAACTTTTTTTTTTGGAGATAGGGTCTCACTCTGTTCCCTAGGTGCAAGGGCAGTGGTGGCATCATAGCTCACGTCAGCCTCCCCAGTAGCCAGGACTACAGGTGCATCCCTCCACACTCGCTAATATTTCTATATTTTTATAGAGACAGGATCTTGCTGTGTTGCCCAGGCTCACTCTTGGCTTCAAGCAGTCCTCCTGCCTCAGCTTCTCAAAGTGCTAGGATTATAAGCATCGGTCTCTGTGCCCAGCCAAAAACTATCGTAGGGAGTACAAATCTCAGTGAATATCTTATTGGTGTATAAGTAAAAACAGAGATCAACTTGTCTTATAGAGGTGGACCAAGACCTAAAAGGGAAGTTCTTCCAGCCATCAGTTTGTTCTACTTTTCTTTACAGGTTGTGTCAACATTGCTCATAAACATAATCCCAGAGGACCACATCCCGCTGAATTTATCTGGAAAAGCGAAAATCAGCGAGAAAGCCTGGGTAAAGGAACCTCCTCGACCTGTTCCTGGCTTTGACCCTGACTCAATGTGTGAGTCCCAGGTATGCCTGCCCAGCAGTTTGAGTTAGAGAGTTCTAGTCCCCAGGCTAGACAAATTGATTTAAAACAGAGACAGTGAAATGGAGGTACACTCAAGCAGGTGCTGTTCCTCAGAAGAGAAGGTATCCTCCCCAAAGGGGTATTAGCTTTCAGTTTGGGAAAAGGTCAGGGTTTATCTCTAGCATTTGACCGTCAGTATAAAACTCACTTCAGATTTGGGAAGGCTTCTCTGGCAAAACGCTAGAGCTGGTTCTGCGAAGGTTGGAAATACAAAGCTCGTGTTTTCCCCTCAAGACTGCAAATTTCTGTGAGGTTCCACACCCCCACCTTAGGAGGGCAGGCCCAGAGCAGTCAAACACAGTGCTGTGCAGCGGTAGGACAACAGTCCAAACAGAAGGTTTCCAAGGCCTCCGCAAGTTTCTGGTGGGGGAGTATCCCCAGAGCCCCACGCTAACCTTTGTAACACAGTCTACCAAACCAAAGCTGCCACTTTCCTTTAATGTATGGTACATTATGCAACTAGAAATCCTTTTAATTAGTTTCTAATGCTTAACCCAGCTTTGTGGAAGTACAAATTCAGGCCTTAGGGGATGTTAGAAAGGTTTTATTGTTCTTATTCCCAGGGTACAAGGGAGGGAGTACCTAAGCCAAGGTCATGGTTATAAACTGGAAGGTCTATAGATGTCCTCATTTCCAGTCACAAGGTCTTCAACAGAGTACTTGACCTCGAGTCATTGTGGATACATCTGGGGAGCAGGGGGGACACTGAACTGTGTGTGTGTGTGTGTGTATGTGTGTCTGTGTGTGTACATATATATGGGGGTAGATAAGTAGTCTCTGAAAAAGAATTTAAAAACCCTTAGTCTATGTGTGCCTACCTCCTGTATTTAAAAATATATGGGTTTTGTGTGTGCCTTACTTCTTCCCATGAAGATTTGAGGCAGTCATAGTTGAGAGACATGCACAATGAGGGTAACACACATGGAGTAGGGAGGATGGGTGGCTCCCACAGAAGGTATCCCCTGCCGCCTGGTATCAGTGGCCTTTCCCTCACAGGTGATCATCAGAGAAGGAGAGCTGCTCTGCGGGGTGCTGGACAAGGCCCAGTACGGGAGCTCTGCCTACGGCCTGGTCCATTGCTGCTATGAGATCTATGGGGGTGAGACCAGTGGGAGGGTTCTCACCTGCCTGGCCCGCCTCTTCACCGCCTACCTGCAGCTCTACAGAGGATTTACCTTGGGTGAGTGGTAGGCTTACCTAGAGCAGTGGCCTAGCCCCTTCTTTTGTGGCTAGCACAGCTGCCAGGCTGTCCCCAGCTCTTATGTCCTCTGGGGGAACAGTGAGGCTTTTTCTGCAAAAGAAGTGTCCTCACTTGGCCACTTCTTCTCCCTCAGCAGGACTGAGTGACCCCTACCATCCCCATTTCCATCTGTCCTTTTCTCAACCCCTGTCTTTACAGTTTTCTGTCCCTCAGTCTGATTTCTATACTTGTACATACCCCCATTCTCTCCTGCCAGTGTCCATCCACAATTCTCTGGGCCTTCCCCACTCCACAAAGGCTCTTCCCTGTTGTTAGAACTGCCTGCACCTTTCCAACACAGTGGGGGACAGCAGTGCTCTGGGAAACACGGTACTGAGGCAAACCTTCCAGGAAAACCCTAAGATAGGAAGAGGAGCTACGTGTTGTGCACCCTGGGAACGAGAGCACACTGTTTTAGGAAAGTGGCTTTGATCAAGAAAATAAGTATGCTGTTTTTGAGTACTGGGTTGGCTTGACGTCTGAAGAACAGACCAAGGGTTCAGCTGATTGAGAGTGCCGCACCTCTGCGTGCATAGAGCAACATCCGAGCTCTTCTGTTCACAACAGTACTTGTCCAGTACACACCACAGTGTGCACAGGGATTGTCTAGTTGATGATACCACTGCTCGTGAGGATAAGGGCATACAGCTTCATGGTCTTGTGTGCAGACGTGGTGAGAATCCCAGAGTGGGCCCTGTGGGCTTGCCACAGTTGGAGTTTGTTTATTGGCCTGCACTGGGGACTGCAGTACACATTTTATTATTTTTTAATTATGTAATATATTTAATTGTGGAAAAGTAAAATATATATATACACACCTATAGACATGAAGATAACTTAAATTCTTGCCAATTACCAGAGGATAACCACTAATATCAACTTGATGTTTGTCTTTCTAGACTTTTCTAGTGCAAATATATATGGAAAAAAATGGAATCCTATACGATGTAATGTTTTATAACCTATTTCTCTATTCTACCTACCTACCCAATCTCTAAATGTATTTATATAATAAATGCCCTTTGGAGCCAGTTGATATAATCTATATCTTCATGTCTAGTGGCTATAGATTCTTCCATTTGTATAGGTGTATCATAGTTTATAAATCAGTTCCAGATTTTCACATTATTGCTGGGATGAGCACCCTCAAACAAACATCTTGGCTCATATGTCCAATTATTTTATTAGTCTGTTTAGGGCCTGAAACTTACCTTTCCCTATCCTGATTTCTCTAATGGGCCTAAACCACTGATGGAGACATTTGTTTCCAGGATCACCCACTTCTAATTGGGAACCAGACTAGGGTCCTTTCAAGGGTAACTAAAGAAAGTGAAGCATCATGACTAAGAACCTCACACTTGTAAGACGTAAATTTCAAACAGTGATCTAGAATAAGCACAAGGATTTCATAGTGCTTAAAAAATGAAACAGAAGATCCCACTCGGGCTCATGAAGACTGAACTTAAACAAGCCATGCTGACAGCTCTGCTTACTACATGGAACAAGGAGAATGGCCCCCTGAGTGCAAAGACAATCCAGAGACTACGAGGGAAGCAAGGCCAGGCAGGGAGTGGGGCTCTGAGAAAGCGCAAGCTAGGGAGGTTGACCTCACTCCAGCCCTTCTCAGCCAGAAGGGTCACTGAGGGGGATATAGCAAGATGGCCTGGCACTGGCCTTGTGAACAGGTCTGCTTTGTGGCTTGCTCACAGAGGGAATATCTCTTTCCTCTTCTGCTCAAATGTATTCTTTAGTAGCCCTCGGGTTTCCAGGGCAGTTTCCAGTTTCCAATTTTTGAACAGGGCAGCCATTGTTTTTCTTCTCACTCAGATCTTGGCTGAGGGACTTTGAGATCCAGATTTAGGCAAAAACTAGTTGATTGAGAGTTGAAAGGAGAAAGACATGCTAAGATGAGGAAGTTTTCGATTCTGTGAGCCAGAAGGATGGGCTTGAACTGGGCTTTTGTTCTCCCGAGGCGACACTGAGGAACCTACAGTAGGGGTCCCTGTCACCTAGGCTCAAGCATGTCTCTGTGTGTGGGCCTGCACACTGACAACTCTGTAGGGTGCACCCATGTTATGTGTGGTTTCTGGGAGCCCAGACTGAGATGTTGTCTGTCTGTCTCTCTCTCTCTCTCCCCCCCTCCCTTTTTTCCCTATACTCAAGTTTTTCATCCATAACCTCTTCTTCCCCTCCAGCCCCCTCACCCAACACATATTTATCAAATGGAGGCAGTGTAACTGGTGGCTGAGAGTACAAGTTTGTGACTCAGGCCTGGGTTTACTTTTCTGCATCTGTAACTAGGCAAGTAGCTCAACTTTGAGCCTTAGTTTTGTTATATGAGAATTAAAAGGTTTGGTTGCTAGTAAACACTTAAGAAAGAGTTAAGGCAATCTAGTAATAATAATGTTAGTATCATCATCACTCAGATGCTTCAGAAGTCAGGCTTTGCGTCCTGACCTCACCAGTGAGGTGAGTCTGGTGAGAAGTCAGGCCTGGTCCCTTTTAGCTTGTCTGTTTCACTTGACAGGTGTGGAGGACATTTTGGTGAAGCCAAAAGCAGATGCCAAGAGACAGGAGATCATTGAAGAATCTACCCACTGTGGACCCCGGGTAAGGAGGGGCTGCAAAGCTGCATCCTACACTAGAAGGGTCAGGTGTCCTACAGATCAAAACCCACACCCTCCTAATTTGGCTGTAGCCTCCAATGTGTGCCTTTTCTCATTGTAGGCTGTCAGGGCTGCATTAAACTTGCCAGAAGCCACATCATGTGATGAGGTCCAAGAAAAATGGCAGGATGCCCATTTAGGCAAAGACCAGAGGGATTTTAACATGATTGATCTGAAGTTCAAGGAGGAAGTAAACCATTACAGCAATGAGATTAACAAGGTTAGCCCTGCACTGCATGTACTTATCCCTACTATTTTGAATGCTGATTTTTAAAATAAATTAGATTTTGGTTCTCACCCAGGGCTCTGTGGAGCAGTTTGACAGATAGCTGACTAGGTACAATGAAAGGTGAAATGAGGGGAATCTTATCATTTTGAAGAGCCTGGGACTTTGTTCCTTCACCCAGTTGGGATCTGGGCAGGTGCTGGATTTATGCTAAGAGAGAATGTGTTGTGCTGTTTTTCTTTTTAAAGTTTGTCTGTGGTGTCTACTTGCCTGGGTTTCAGTGTCCCTTAGGATGCCAAGAAGACCTCATTAGTGCAAGTTCTGTCATTGTGGCTCCCCCGGGAGACTTTGTTGCTTCTGCTGACCCTGGAGCCAAGGCTAGGATCCCCAACTGGGGCTCAGGCAGCATGTTGGCAAATATGACATGATGCAGACATTGGTCATTATTGCTATCTTTGTGGAGACCCAGGCCAGGTTCTGCTGGACAAATTCACAGTAGCATAGATTAAATTGTATCCTCCAGCTCCTTTTTAGAATCACAAACTGAATCTGCTGGTGTCACTGCTTTTCCTTTCCCTTCTCCATTTTTGTTGCCTTTTGGCCAATTAATGGAACTTCAGGTGTTTTGGGGGGGGGTTTTGAGACAGAGTCTCCCTACGTCACCCTCAGTAGATTACCGTGGTGTCACAGCTCACAGCAACCTCAAACTCCTGGGCTTAATTCTCTTGCCTCAACCTCCCAGTAGCTGGGACTACAGGCACCCGCCACAACACCCAGCTATTTTTTATTCATTTGTCGTTGTTGTTTAGCTGGCCTGGGCTGGGTTCAAACCCACTGGCTTTGGTGTACATGGCTAGCACTATAACCACTGTGCTACGGTCACCAAGCCAAGGAACTTCAGGGTTTGGGTCAGGAGATGTTAAGAGAGCAAGGTGGGATGGGGGACCTGTGTCCCTTCTCTCTAAGGGTTCTAGTAAAAGGATTGGTGTCAAATGTATGGTTTTGGTACTTGCTTCTGGATAAATGTTCTGGCTTTATTGCTCCTGCATCCTGGATTTAACTCCTGAACCTAGGAACCTAACTCCTTTACCCCATTTTAAAGTCACTGACTGCTGTGTTGTTTTAACCTGCAGGCATGCATGCCTTTCGGCCTGCACAGACAGTTCCCAGAGAACAACTTGCAGATGATGGTGCAATCAGGAGCCAAAGGTTCAACTGTGAACACAATGCAGGTATGAATAGATGCTGAGTGATGGCAGGAGGTGGTTTTCAAGTAGCAAGTACTGGTAGGTATAGATATAAATGTGCAGATATATGTATAGTGTAGATGTATAATAAATTTACTTATTGTATTACATATATTCATGTAATGAGTATATACACACTGTGTGTGTGTAATCTTAGTTGAGATCCTGCAATTTTGCATGGTCTGCTTTTTTTTAATATGGAACACTTCACGAATTTGCATGTCATCCTCGCGCAGGGGCATGCTAATCTCTCTGTATCATTCCAATTTTAGTATATGTGCTGCCGAAGCAAGCACTGCATGTTCTGCTTTTTTCACTTAATCCTACATTTTAAATATTGTCCTAGAGGTTGGGTCGCCTTTAACTTGAGGCCCATGATCTGCTTAGATTACCATAGTGCTATCATAGCATTTGCACAATATTAACCCAAATTTTATTTTGTTTTGTTTTATTTATGTATTTATTTACTTTTTTGGAGACAAAGTCTTACTTTGTCGCCCTCTGTAGAGTGCAATGACATCTTAGCTCACAGCAATGTCAAACTCCTGGGATCAAGCCTTGTCTCAGCCTCCCAGGTAGCTAGGACTACAGCTTACAGGCACCTGCCACAATGCCCGCCTCATTTTTTTTTTTTTTTTTTTAGATGGGGTCTTGCTCATGTTCAGGCTGGTCTCAAACCTGTGAGCTCAGGCAATCCACCCTTCCTTGGCTTCCCAGAGTGCTGGGATTATAGGTGTGAGCCACTGTACCCAGCCCTAACACAAATTTTAAACAAGATTTTGTTTTAAATCTTGGTGACCTGTGGAGAGTCTTTTTTTTTTTAAAAAACATATTTAATTTAATAATTTACTTATTTCACTTGCAACTTTTAAATCTTTAGTCGTATGGTATTTGAGCTTTCATTTGTACTATTACCCTAAGCCCTACAAATATCAGGGTTGAGCCTGTCACTATCTCTCTTGTAATGTGGTCCATGTCAGTGACAGACTGACATGATAGCTTCATAGTAAAAATCTGTAATCCAGGATACTTCCAGCTTTCTACTCTGACTACCCATAGGAAAGGGCCCTTATTCTCACTATCTACTTTTTTTATTTTTCTTTCTCTGTTGCCCAAGCTGGCTATAACCTTGAACTCCTGGGCTCAAGTAATCCTTCTGCCTCAGCCTTCCAAGTAGCTGGTTGGACAGGCATACACCACCACTCCCAGCTAAATATTCTCGCTATCTAGATAAGTTTTGCCATCATAATCACATCCAAGCAAGAGGCTGGATAAGGAGAGAAAGAAAGAATAAGGTTCCTCCCAGCAAGGGTGTTCCTTGAAGTGCACACATTACTTCCCCATTCTATCAGTTAGAACTTTGTCACATGAGCTGCAGTAAGCCTCTGTAAGGAAGGAGGAAAGAGAAGGGAGAATGAATGTCAGAAGACGATTGGCAGTCCCTGGTACACATTTTCTCTTTGGCCCCTGTGAGGAAGCTCCAAGACCCACATTCAGGAAAGGAGATAAGACAGCAAGACAGCAGACTGGACTGCTGAGTAGTTGTTCTGTGCTTTGCCTTCAGACATGACTCAGTAGAAATGCAACAGACTCTGGGCAGTGCCTGTGGCTCAAGGAGTAGGGTGTCAGCCCCATATACTAGAGGTGGCGGGTTCAAACCCAGCCCTGGCCAAAAAACTTAACTGACCTGATAGTCCATCACCAAGAAAATCAGATGAGATCATGGCTCTAATGCACCGCATAAATGAAAGGTATACTTGTTGTTCTTCTACCTAGAGAAGCAATCTGAACCTCGCCAGGAGATTTTTGGTTTGCTTCCTCTCTTTTATTTATTCAATTGGAAGACATCACAGGTGGAGGAGAGCCAGTCCTTAAATTTCAGTGAGGAAAGAAATTGAGATTTTCATGGGAGAAAAGGGCCTAGACGGTGAATTTGGCTGTCATTGTGAGCAGAGTCACAGGGAAATAAGCAGTGACCACAAGAGATAGTGACTTCAGGCGCAGAGGGAGCAGATGAAGGAGGTACTATGGATCCCTGAGGTCAAGTACATCCAGGGAGAGCACAGACGTTTGCTGTTGACCCACCTGGGCCGCAGCTCCCAGCTCATAACCCTACCAAAAGTTCTGGCTCCCCGCCCTGTGGAGAGTCTTAATGACCACCTGCTGTTTAGTGAGTGTGGAGCAGTAGAGATGGGCTTGAAAGTGTAAAGGCCAAGAGGAAACCCCCTCACAAAATAGTGAAATCTAGACTCACTGCTCTTCCACCCCAAGAGTATTAATAGGCGGCTCTCTAAGTAGGCAGCTCAATAGCTTGAGTTCTTTTGGCTCTAGAATGTAAGGGTCATGATAAATTGCTGTTTCTTGCAGACCTCCATTTTGCTATTAGGACAGTCAGGTCTCTTCCAGGTATAATGTGGTAATTCTGAGACACAGCTCCTTTTATCAACATCACCCATTTTCACCTGACACCAATGTGAAAAATCCAGGCCAGTCAACAAAAGGAAGATGCAGTTATTTTTTCTTGAAATGAAATTGTCCCTGGTTTATTTAAAAATGTAGGTTGGCCTTCAAGCAAAGGGCAGATGGTTCCTTCCCTGCTAGGACAAAGCGTTACTTAACATACGTGTGGACCTTCAGTTTCCTGTGGGTTTCCTTTCCCCTAGATCTCGTGCCTCCTGGGACAGATCGAATTGGAAGGTCGGAGACCGCCGCTGATGGCATCTGGCAAGTCACTGCCCTGCTTTGAGCCTTACGAATTCACCCCCAGGGCTGGTGGCTTTGTCACTGGCAGATTCCTCACTGGCATCAATCCTCCTGTATGTACTTTGGTTTTTCCATTTGGCTTTTCCCCTCATTTCTAGGCTCAATGATAGGTGACCTGTGACCCCATCAGCAACTTTGAGCAAGAATAGTCAAGTGATAAATGTCATGCCATTTGCTGCTTACCCACTAGACCTTAGGGCCCATGTTTTGTTCACCATTGTGACACCAGAGCACTGCACAGTGCTGGCACATAGTAAGTGCTCAGTAAATGATAGGTGAAAGATGAATAGTACCAATCCCAGCTCCACCTTTTTTCAGTTTTATGACCTCTAAACCAGCTCTTACCACATTTGAGTGAAGGCAGCTGGAAAAGGGGGTGCCACCCACCACAGTGCTCTCATTGCCAGAAGGAGCATCACAGAGATTTATTTCTTGGCCATGGAAAGTTGACTAGCTCTAGCAGGTGTTAACTTTTGCTTTATCAACACAAAATTCATTCCAAAGAAAAGGGTTTCTCTTCACTTTTGTCAGAAATGACTTTTTAAATATTATTGCCCTTTGTTTTCTGGTCTAGTACATGTCTGAAAGGGTGACCTTTGTGTTCAGACATTTAAGTCCAGACTGTGCAAGGGACTGACCTTTCATTCCAAGGTCACACAGGCTCCCCACAGGACATCCGTGGCCTCTGGCAGGGATGGTGCAGGGTTCTGTAGAACAGACTTTTCAAATTCTGATTGCGACCCCGTAGTGTGGATTATGAAATCAGCATTTGAAGAAGTCTGGTAGTGACAAGTATTTCTTTACGTACTGAAACAGAATACGGAGGGCATTAAAAAAATCACTGGAGGTTATTTCCCATAGTAAGGGATGGAATAGTACCATAGGTTTAGTTTGAGTTAGCTACCTTTATATTGTATATGCACACATAGAGAGAAAGAGAGAGGTCTTTGCTGACTGCTATTGTATTTACAACACAGTATTTCTCACTATGGATTATAATTTTAAAAGTTTGGAAAATACCCTATAAACACAGTTGGAAGCAAAATTCAGACTTGCAGGCTAAACCAAATAGTGGTAAAGTATCAGTGTCATTTTTATTTGGAAAATGGGACATGGGGCATAATGCTATAACTAGGAGCTGTTACTTCTGATCCACTTGTCCCTCCACTCTTAGTCAAGGTACAATAAGAAAAGGAGGGCAGAAGACACTGGAGGCTATTGGAGTCACCAAAGTCAAGGTCCTAGGAGATAAGGGGAGGGAATGTTTCCCTCTGGTTACACAGGACTCCTAGAGATCCTAGCCTACCTATGCTCTTCAGTAAGAATTACCACCCTCACTGCTATCTTTGGGACCTCAATCCTTTTCTCCACAGGAGTTCTTCTTTCACTGCATGGCAGGGCGAGAGGGCCTGGTCGACACCGCTGTGAAAACCAGCCGCTCTGGCTATCTTCAAAGGTAAAAGCACCTCTTGTGCCCCCTGTAGATGGGGTTGGTGTACCAGGGCTCTTCACCTCTGTTATCTTCCATGTCGTCATTGACAATTCACTTAGGATTCCTTAGATGAAAAAAACTTTTTAAGGCTGGGAGCAGTGGCTCATGCCTGTAATCCCAGCACTCTGGTAGGCCAAGGCAGGTGGATTGTCTGTGCTCACAAGTTTTAGACCAGCCAGAGCCAGAGCAAGGCCTCCTCTCTAAAAATAGCTGGATGTTGTGGCAGGCACACCTCTAGTCCCAGCTACTTGGGAAGCTAAGATAGGAGAATCTCTTGAGCCCAAGAGATTGAGGTTGCTGTGAACTGTGATATCACAGCACTCTACCAGAGGGTAACAAAGTGAGTCTCTGTCTCAAAAAAAAAAAAAAAAGAAAACCATTTTTTAAAATTTTCCATGATTGTTGAAAAAAAAAGTTTCCATGGATAGTCTGAGATAGAAAATAACAGCTATTCTTCCCCTTCTATAGAATTGGTAGCGCTTGAACTCAGAGGTTCATATAAAGGGCCCCTGCATTTTCGGGTTCTGCCATTCTCTGGGGGAAGCTGTGGGTACAGGAAAAGTTCTTAGGCAGTGGTGAGCATGTCTTGCTCCCTGAGAGGATCAGCTTCTCGAGACAGTGGTGACTAACACTGAGTTCCTCACAGTTCAGGAAGAAGAAGGGACAGGGACAGTGACTCCCAGGAAACTCCCTCTTAGGTTGACAGGAGGAGCAACTGAGACAGAATGGCCAGAGGGATAAGGAATGGTCAGAGAGGGTAGTATTAGGGCAGAGAGCAAGAAAGGTTGAGGGAGGCAGCCAACCACTTGGGAGGACTGAGGAAAAAGGCCACCAGGTGCAGAATGGCGCATCAGCATTTAGTTCCTAATACCCTTAGGGTCTTTGGCAGTCACTGACGGTATCCTAGAATCCTTGACAACAACCCTGCTTTGCCTGGCTTATGGCTCTAAGGACCCTGGTCCCTTGGTGCTCTGCGTTGCAGGAGAGGGAAGGGGGCAGGTAGTAGTTCCAGCAGCTGGGGCTAGAGGGGAGCCCAGGTCTAGTGGTGGCACCAAGCCTCTTGGTAACACAGGCTCAGCCTCCTTCTCCTGGAGAACATCAGGAAGTATGGTCCCTGCAGCTGGGAGGTGTTGTAGCCCAGAGCCTAGTCTTACTTGGCTGTAGAATAGCTGTCCCCCTTTTCTTCCCTCCCCTGTTCCCAACCTCCAGCCCCTATCAGAGGCTGCCCCGGGAGGAGGCAGGCCTGGCAGGGGCTGAACTTGTGAGTTCCTTGCAGGTGCATCATCAAGCACCTGGAGGGGCTGGTCGTGCAGTATGATCTGACTGTCCGAGACAGCGACGGCAGTGTGGTGCAGTTCCTGTACGGGGAGGATGGCCTGGATATCCCCAAGACCCAGTTCCTGCAGCCCAAGCAGTTCCCCTTCCTAGCCAGCAATTACGAGGTAATGTGCCAGAACCTTAGAGCTGGGGTCTGTGTGGTGGGCCTCCCAACCCCAGATTGGAAATCCAAGTACCCTGTGCTTGACTGTCCAGTCCAAGAAGTCACTGGGAAGTGGGAAAGGTTTATAAAGCAACAGTGAGTGCCCTCTGTGGACTTGCATCACATGAGGTGGCTGAAGGGCATTTGCCACATGCTGGGCACTGAATTAGAGCACACTTAGAATGTGGTCTCCTCTCTACTCAGCTTGGGAAAGCAAGCATTCTTCCACATAAATTACAGTGGAGACAACTGAGTATCAGAGCTTAAGTAGCTAACTGGGGAGTGGCAGAGCCAGAGTTTGAACCTAACCTTATCTGGCATGTGCTGGTGATTCTCATTCCATGCTTTACCACACAGTCATAACCATCACCATTGACCAAGCAGGCACTCTGTTTTGCAGAGGGGGCAGTTGAAACTGATATGACCTGTCCAAGGTCACTGAACTGTTAGCAGAACTAAGGACCACTCTCCAAATGCTGGGTCCCTTCTGTCCTGTGCCTGTCCCAGAGCTTTGGCGTTTATTCTTCCCCTCTTCTTTTCTCAGAGCTCCCTTGTATTCCTGGAGGGGCTCCGAGTATGCCAGTCCCTTTCCTGTGATCCCTCCTCAGCTCCTGAGACCATTGGCTCCCAAGTCTGGTTTGCAGAAAGTGACAACCTTAATTAGCTGTGACTGCTCAGCCCTGTCACGAGGGCTCTGCACAAACCCCCCAGATCCTGTGAATTTGTGCAAGGTGGCTCTTTTGTCATGGGCCCAATCTCATTCATCTCATCTGTGTGGTTTGTTGGTTTGTTTAGGTGATAATGAAATCGAAGCATCTCCATGAAGTTTTATCCAGAGCGGATCCCAAAAAAGCTCTCCGCCACATCAGAGCCATCAAAAAATGGCAAAGCAAGCATTCTGGCACCCTGCTCAGAAAAGGCGCCTTCCTGAGTTATTCCCAGAAAATTGAAGCAGCTGTAAAAGCTCTAAACCTTCAGGGCAAGAACCAGAACGGCCGCAGCCCTGAGACTCAGCAGGTAATGCAGGGAGGATGTGTACCCTGTGCCTGGCACAGCCAGGCTCAGTCAGTGGGTGAGGGATGAGGGATTATTTTCTTAGTAGAGATATAATAATAAAATTTGGCTTTATTCACCATTAGTCAGGATAGAAGTGACACTCAAATGGGAAGGCAAAGTGGGGACTCTTTACAAGAGTATGGTCTGGACTTGGGGAACTGACTAGGAATAATAATTTTGGGGTTCCTCACTACCCCAGGCATGAAGGAACAGGGGAGCAGTCACCACAAGTGGAGAGGGTGGCTGTGGGCAGACACTACTGGACAGGAGCCCTAGATAGAGAGCCCTGGAGAGTGGCTGGGTAAATGCCCAGCTTCACCCTCTTGCCATCTCTGCTGCTGGTGCCACTGTGCCAGGTATAGCTGAGAGCCAGAAGCAGGGAGGTCTTTGAAGCAGTTGCTGTGGGACATGGACCACGTGAAAGAGCCTGTGTCCAAGGGTAAACAAGGATCCAGCACTGTCACCTGACTCATGGTAACCATGTTCATATTGGCCAAGGACCATCCTGGTTTTGCATCTTGTCCTATAATCATTAACAGTGCCCTGTTTTACTATAAAAGAATCCTAGTAGTGCAGTAACTTACATGGTCACCCTGCCCCGTGGTGTTGACAGTCTGCTTAAATGTGCCAGGATGAAGAGCTTCTAGTGTCACAGTCAGCAATCCCTGGGACAGATTAAATCTCCTCTCCCTATTAAATGTTGAGACAGTTTCTCATTATGGTCAGCTTTCTTACTCTTTCCCCTTAACTCTCGTTTGAAGCCAGTGCCTTTGATCCTTCTTACGTTACTGGGTGTCCTGGAAGGAGATGCCCCTTCCTGGTACCCTCCCACGTGTCTGAGACCCATCCTTCCTTCCTTTCAGATGTTGAAGATGTGGTATGAGTTAGATGAACAGAGCCAAAGGAAATACCAGAAGAAGGCAGCCCCTTGTCCTGACCCCTGTCTGTCTGCCTGGCGCCCAGACATCTACTTTGCATCAGTGTCAGAAACTTTTGAGAAAAAGATTGATGACTATAGTCAAGAATGGGCAGCTCAAGCAGAGAAGAGTTACAAGAAATCAGAGCTTTCTCTTGACAGGTAATGACACTGATTAGTTGCATACCATGTGTAAGGGGAGAGTCTGCCCCTCAGCCCCTTCCCTATTCATGCAGAAAGAAGAGGATGACCTCATAGGGTTGATACTACAGCTGGAAGGAGGGAAGTAAGACAGCCAGGGGCTCATTGCAGCCTCAGGGGTAGACAGGCGCAGGAGGCAGGAGTGAACAGCCCCATCCGGGCCAGGACAGAAAAGAGTGGTCTGCTAGGACAGAGGTTTACAGAAATGACCTCTTACTGGAGCTTCATGTGGTGAATGTGGCTGACTGAAAGTCAAAGAATTGGGTCACTGTTCAACTGCTGCCAGTCCTGTGACCCAGGGCAGGATAGTCACTGCCCTAGGATACAATAACATGTCTCAGCTTTTCTTGAGGGGTAGGATATGATTATACCAATGATCTCTTAAACTTTGGGTTTTGAGGCCTTGAGGAAGAAAGGGCTATATGGAGGCCACAGCTTGGACTCAATCACAAAAAAAGAAAAAGAAGCCTGCTGTCCAGGTGGGTGGAAAGCCAGAAGTGCCTGCTCTGGCATTGGTCTGGGAAACTTCCATCCAGCTCCCCAAGCCTGGCCTGCAGAGCTGGGAGACCGTGAGATCATCTGCCCTCACCTGGCCACTCAACCTGCCCAGGTGAAGCCTGGTGAGGCATGTGGTGAGGTTGATGGGGCCTGAGGAGTTGGACTGACAACTGTGTGACAGGGAGCAGAGAAAGCAGATAAGCAAAGACAAATGAGTGGAGGAACTAGAGAGGAGAGGCAGGGCTCTGTTTGCCCTGTAAAGTGGTTTCTCCAGCCAGGATATCCCAACTATTAACTGGGCTTTTCCTTGAAAGAGTAGACTACTCTTACCCCCAAACACACATACAGACAATTGCATCCCTGTAGCACAAGAGGCTGCGTTTACCCTCAGAAGGACAAAGTTGGTCCTCCCTCTGATCATGCTGCATTTTGGGCTAGGGAGAGGCAGCCCTGCCTAGACAGCTCTCGCAAAGGAATCTCTTAGTAAATAGTATCTCTGAATGGAATTCTAAAGTTCTGAAAGTAACTGAAGATTTTTCTTTTCAGGAATACTTATCTGAACTCAAACTTCAATGGTTTAAAGTAGTTGGGAGAAAACACAGATAATTTAGCAAAAAGTCTGACTTCCAGAAAGAACTTTCAGAGTGGGTATGGTGGCTTATACGTATAATCCTGGCACTCTAAGAGGCCAAGGCAGGAGGATCACTTGAGCTCAGAAGTTTGAGACCAGCCTGTGCAAGAGTGAGACCCTTTCTCTACTAAAGATATAAAAGTTAGCCAGGCATGGTGATAGGTATATGTATATAATCCCAGCTATTCAGGAGCCTGAGGCAGGAAGATCACTTGAACCCAGGAGTTTGAGGTTGCTGTGAGCTAGGCTGACACCATGGCACTCTAGCCTAGGCAACAGAGTAATATTCTATCTCAAAAAAACAAACAAACAAAAAAGACTTTCATAGAAGTATAGATTTGTTTTACTGTGGCACTGTCCATCCCCTATTCATTCATTCACACGTGTCCACACTTGAGCCCTTCACTTAACTCCATGTGCTGGGTCAAACCAGGCTCCTAGTATCTGTTCTTAAAGAGCCAACTGTCATAGGAACAAGCCTAGCAAATTACAGAATTTCGCAGCATGGACACTTCTGTTGTGGTTTGCAGCCAGTTACACTAAGGAGAGAATAAACATCCCCCCCCCATCCCCTGTCACCCATAGCCTGTAATTGCTTAGTGAACTTCTTTCTAATTTGTACAGCAGGGGGGGTTGAACCCCTTCCAGACTGTCCAAATTAGTTTGGGGGAAAGAATGAACAAAGGAAAATGGGAATAATGAGCCCTGAAGTTCTCAATGCTTTGGGGGCTTATGGTAACAGCCCAAAGTGCCATTCTCAAACAAACATGAACCATCAAGTGTCAACATCTCGAGCTTTAGCCACCCAGCTCGGTCTGTGCTGTGTAATTCCTGCTGGTGACATCCAGGATCACTAGTAGGAATTTAAAGATTAGAGGAAAGACTTACACAGAAAAAACAAGCCTGAGAGAAATGGAGGTTTCAGGTTTCTGGTTTCGGGTGGTGTTGACAGACTGGTGGCACTGATAGTCTGCAGTGCTTGTTTCTGACCCCTACTGCCCCTTGTGGCCCCCTAACATCTCTAGGCTGAGGACCTTGTTGCAGCTGAAGTGGCAGCGCTCGCTTTGCGACCCCGGGGAGGCCGTGGGCCTGCTAGCCGCCCAGAGCATCGGAGAGCCCTCCACACAGATGACCCTGAACACCTTCCACTTTGCAGGCAGAGGAGAGATGAACGTCACCCTGGGGATTCCAAGGTGTGAGTCCACAAGGGTAAACAGCAGGATCATCTTAGCCCTTTCCTGGGGAAAGAGGCATTTTTTAATGAGAGGGAGAGAGTGAATTTATGGGTGTGAAAGAGAGACGGACAGGATGTCATCAAAATGGGCTCAGGATTGGAATTTCCAGAGCTGAATGGTTTCTGTGGCTGGATCAGTGCTAAGGCTTTTTAGAATTTGTATATTTATCCCTCCACCAACTCCTGCATCAGAGTTACGTGTACCAAGAACGCTGTGAGGCTGCACACTGCTGGAGGGACTCCGGAATGGGCATTGTTAATAAGCCCCATCCAGGGCAACTGGTTGCCCCACTCTGTGGGTGCCATTCACATAGAAAGTGACCCACATGGCCTTTCAGGTAAATGTCTGCACACTGCAGTGTGATGACTGCTGGGCAAGAGGAAAGTGCATGGGGTCAAGTTTGCCTGCATTTGGTCCCTGGCCCTGCCACTTTCCAGCAAGTGGACTCTGGACAGGTTCTTCAACTCCCCATAGTGAGTGCCCTCCTGTGGAAGGCAGGAGGCCAGGACCCACCAAATATCCAGACTCTGAGGGCTGAACTCATGAGCAAGGTGCACAGGAGCACTGTGGGTACTAGTTGTCTTTTCGGCATTTCTCATTCATTCAGTAAGCTCTCAGTAAGCACCTGTTGTTAGTAAGACACAGGTGATAGGAAACAAACATCCGACACAGCTGTGCCCTTGCCAGAGGAAACTGACTAGGGAGCCCCTCACTGTCAGACACAGGACCAGAGCTGGGATTCTGTGATCCGACATACTTCCCTATGGGATCCCAAGGGCTCTCTCAGATCCCACAACTCTTAACATCTTTAGTGGAAGCTTCACAAGCAGGGGGTCTGGTTGCTGCTCCTGATCAGATGTGCCTTTGTCCTGTAACAGACTGAGGGAGATTCTCATGGTGGCCAGTGCCAACATCAAGACACCCATGATGAGTGTGCCTGTGTTCAACACCAAGAAAGCCCTGAAGAGGGTGAAGAGCTTAAAGAAGCAGCTCACCAGAGTGTGCTTAGGGGAGGTAACTGTCACCCTTCACAGGCGCTGCAGACTGGGCAGTGGCATATTCCTGTGTCCTCCTCATCCATGAAGAATAGACTTTGCTGATTGCTTCCAGTAGTTCTTAGCCTTCTGATGCCACAACCCTTTAATACAGTTCCTCATGTTCATGTTGTGGTGACCCCCAGCCATAAAATTATTTTCATTGATATTTCATAACTGTAATTTTGCTACTGTTATGAATAGTAATATAAATATCTGATACTAGGTGACCCCTAAAGGGGGTCATGACCCACACAGGTTGAGAACCTCTAGCTTAGATGCTGATCTCAGATTCCCATCAGTCAGAGATAAGCTGTCTCTGCCAGGTGCTGTGCAGGCATAGATCAAGAAGCTTTTAAGATAATGATTAGTTCCACAGCATCCTCCTATGCCTAACAAATAATATTAAAGCACTTCCTGACTTAGCTTAGCAGCTCTGCCAGAGCCTACTCATAGCAGCTTTGGGCCATTCTCAGGAAGTAACTGCAGTCTGTGGGCCCCCAAGGGATCTAGACCTGCAGAGCTCACTATGTTTTCATGGGGGGTTTGGCTTGTGGCCCCAAATGCTATCTCCCCAAACCTTTGGGTTTCTTATAACCCACTTGCACTGCACAGTCATCTGGAATTAGGACAAATTGGGTTCTCTCTGTCCATCTGCTTCCAGGTGTTGCAGAAAATTGATGTCGAGGAGTCCTTCTGTATGGGAGAAAAACAGAACAAATTCCGGGTATACCAGCTGCGCTTTCAGTTCTTGCCATACGCATATTACCAGCAGGAGAAATGCCTGAGACCTGAGGACATTCTGCACTTCATGGAAACAAGGTCAGGGCTCAAGCCATGATTGCCACTAACCCAGAAAATGCACCTTGCTGAAGGGCTATCAGAGGTTGGATGCAAGTGAGCCCTTTAAGGGAACTGTTTAGGGAAACCTTACCCCTAATCTGGCTTTTGGATATTACTATGTGGCCACTTCCTGAACCCACTTCTTATCAGATTGATGAATCAAGTTTATTGTCTTTGCATGCTTGCAGGCGTTAAGAGAAAGGAGCTGCATGGCAGCGGTGGTTCTATGGTGTCAGCACGGCATGTGATGTTAATGCTTAATAGAACATGACTCCAGGCAGCAGGAGTAGTGCTGATTGATACCTTTATATTCTGTGAATAATGAGCAGTTCCCTAAGGGCACACTGCTCTTAATCCCCACTTCTGTAACTGGGGTTTCCTCCAGCTTCTTACAGAGAGATTTCGGTTCCTGTCTGATAAAGAGGACAAATACCCTTTTTCTCTCAAGTTCTTTATCAAATGTTGGATATTGAAAGAAACAGGCCACAATGCTGAGTGCATAGAGCAGGATGATGGGCTTTTGAGGAGTGGGGCAAGACAGGAGCCAATGAAGCAGTTTTGACCCAGCAGTTCACCCAGATGGTGGAGTGCATGCACCAGCAGCTTCAGGGCCTGGCAGGTCACAGGCCAGCAAGGCAGAGTGCAAGGCTTCGGACATACTGAAGAGTGTGGAACCTATGTCACCTTGCATAAATATGGACCAGAGTGGCCTGGTCTTCTGATCCAAGTGAAAAAAAGCTACCCCTTTTTTTATTTTTTTTTTAAATTTTTTCTTTGGTTATTTGGTTGCTTGCTTTTGCTTTTATAAAAATGAAATCTCCTAACTTTCAAACATCAGCCACTAATTCATGTCTTTAAAAGCATGGTAAGACTCAAATGGATCCCATCTGTTGGTAGGATTTGGCCACAGGCCACTGACCACTGACCACTACCTCTAATGTAGACCAGCTCTCAGGCCTTCCTGGAACTGCTAGGAATCTATAGAACTGATAGCCAAACAGAGGCAGAATAAAGCTCCCCGTACTGACACAGTACAAGAAAAGACTGAACTCAGCCCACTCCTAGGCCAGTCACAGGGACAGGTGTGGCCAGAAGAGAGCAGCTGCTCTGTCCTTAGCACTCTTCTTCCTCTCACCTGATCATGTGGCCTGGCTTTGGGCCAGCTATCTATGCAGGTGGCATTTGGGATGGAGGGTGTTGGAGTAGGTGAGCTTGTGTGTGATCTCAGCCCGGTAGACAGGTCACTGGCCAGATGGTTCCTGCCCCAATTGACACAAGCTCTAGTGAAGTTGTTGGCTGGGCCTTGAGGAGCACCTGCATTGGCACTGCCTAGGTCGAGAAGGTTCGCTCTATCTGGTGGTCCTTGGTGCTATCTGGGGTGCTGGGCAAAAGAGCAGGGGAGCAGTGTATGCACCAGTCTGCCCACTGGTTAATTAACTGTGAGAAACATAACTTCTCAGGGCAGTGGGTATTTGTGCTTGCTGGCAGCCCATTTCTGAGAACTGGGAATTTGGATCTTGTGTCCTCAAGAGTGGGCAGAGTTCTGCCCCAGTTCTCTGCATGTGAGGCCCAGCTTGCCCAGCAGGTAGGTCGGTACGAGGCCTCTGCAAGCCTGTGCCAGGGTACTTTTTACTTACATTATCTCATGGAATTAAAAATAGTTGATTACTTTTTAAAAATTCTTTCTGATGAAAGCCCCTGGCTTATTTCCAGCAGTTAAGTACTTTTTCAACTCCTAAATTCTAGTTTGTGTTTTGCTTGTACCCTTTACAGTTTTGATGACAAAAGTGTCTGCAGTAGCTTTCAGTAGAGGTAGCCTTAGGAACTGCTGCAAAATGGGGCTGAGGGCTCAGGCAAAGATAAAAGAAGGAGTAGCGTATGAATTGGGATGTGGTTTGGCCTCCCTTGGTCAGGGCCAGGCAGCAGGCAGCTGCATTAAGGCCGCTGACAGCCCACAGGAAGTGGGGGGGAATGTGAGTACTTTCAAGGGTGAGTCCCCTCCGGAGCTCTTCCTCCCTTCACCTACCCCTTTCTCTCCTCCCCTCTCTCCCTTCCCCTTTTTCTTTCCCAGCTTCATAATCATGATACTTTTTCTTTTGTGATTATGACTTGGTTATTTTTGTGATCATGACACTTAATATAGATTGGTGAAAAATAGGCAGACAGACATTTCCCTAAGTAGAAAAGGTTGAAGGTCCCCTAAATCTCTGCACTGGCACCTGTCACTTAAAGTATCTGTGTGAATTATCTGGAAGGTGAATTATCTGGTGGGGAGGTGAAGTGGGGAGTGCACTGAGCTAGGAATGAGGGCATAAGCTCCGGCCCAGCCCCTGTCCCCAGACAGCCTCTGCAGTTACAGCTTCTGCGAATCTAACTTTCCAAACAGCAGGTGGTAGAGCTGTTGCCAGGCCCTTTCAGAAACAGCCAAGGGTCATATGCTCTGTTTGTAATTATTTATGTGGGATGGAGGTTTTCTCCACTGCCTGCCGCTCCTGTTCCCTTCCAGTTGCCACAGTTTGATGAAGAGCACAGCCTTCAGTGAGCAGTCAGTGCACCATTAGTTCCCTTTCTCTGGGCAAATGGTTTGCACTTCTAGGAAGACTATAACAAAGGGGTACCTCGTCTGCCACTTACTGAGTGGGTGTTTATTCTGCTGCTTTACCTTCTCACATGTTCTCCATCAGTCCTGGTCACCAAAAGAGGCAGGCAAAGTAGAAAGGCTTCTCAGCATGGGAATCAGGGAAGGCTTCTCAGAGGAGTTACATCTGCACTTACACCCAGTTGTAGAGGATGCTGCAGCTTCAGCAGATAGATGTGGGCTAGAGAAGCTGCTTGTCCTTTCAGAAACATCTCTTCTGGCCCTGCCCTCCCAGTTGAATTGTATCTTTCTAAAGTCAAACCCAACATCTGGCCCCAGGGCCTAGTGTATAAGATCTTCACTGGATTATTAGATAAAGAGCCTTTTTTCTGCCAATAGCAGAAACCTCAGGAAAACCATGTGCTCCTTTAAAAAAGTTAAAATAACAAGGAGGGAAAGTGGTATTCTTCTGTTTCTAATGACCAAAATAGTATACATTTGACCCGCCTGCTGTTCATAGAAGATTCTAAGCTCCTTGAGGACAGACACAGCCTGTCTTTTCATCCTTATGTTGCTCCCAGGGCTGGCATGTGATGGGGACATGATAGGCACTCCAAGAATACAGGCATCTGACTAGAGATATGAAGCCCCTGACACTGGTACAATCATGAATGGTCCCTTTTGCTGTGCTGTCATAGCCTGATGGAGAAGACAGGCCAGAGGTTATATGAGGAAAGAAGCAGTGGGGAGGGAATAGGCGAACCCTAAGGGATCCAAACAATAGATGCCTCAGGAGGAAGGGGTGAATCCAGGAAAGCCTGCGCCCAGGTTCTGAGCTTCAGGTTGGTTCTCTTAAACTGGTTTGGTTCTAACCCATTAACATGATTAATTGCCACAAAGTAAGTTAGCCTGCCTTTTAAAATTCTGTCGAACCTTTCTGAAGTCTTTCTTCTTTCTTCAAATAGTTAGGGCTCCCACACCAATGAGACATGAGTTCTCTGGCCCAAGCAGCACCACTTACTGGAGATGCTGTGGGTGGCAGCTGCATGGTCTAGACTGGGTTCCCTCTCCTACAGTAGATTCTGCTTTCTGTGTTACAATGACCATGGCACCAACAACTGTCCTTTACTGAGCACCAGGCCCTATGAAAAGAATCAGACATGGAGTTGTTGCTAATCGTTAAAATAAGAGTCCTGCCCTTCTGCCAAAAAGAAAAAACAACAAATAAGATTGTGTTTATATGAATACCCACATTTTCCAGACAAGGGAGTCAGAGCCCAAGAAGCTATGTCATGCTCAAAACCACAGTGGCAGAGTGCATGTGCAGAACAGCCCTGTGAGGCTGTGGACCTGATGCTGTTTCTAACATGCCACACACTGTTGAGAGATGACAGGAAAGGGGAAACGTGAGTGGATGGAAGAGGAGGCCTCCGTCTCATCTCCCTCAACATCCTAACCCAGAAGATGCTGACACTGAACAGGACTTCGTGGCTTTCTTCTCATTTTAGGTTCTTTAAGCTTTTGGTGGAATCCATCAAAAAGAAGAGTAACAAAGAATCAGCTTTCAGAAGCGTAAACACTCGAAGAGCTACACAGCGGGATCTCGACAACGTTGGGGGCTCTGGGAGGAGTCAGGTGAGTGCCCTGGGTACCCCCATGGGACCTGCACAGGGTTAGTCCCAGGGAAGCACATGGGCAACAGCTGGCTTCATCTCTCCTGAGCAGGCTCTGCAGCTGTTCTCTGTACTCCTAAGCCGCTTCCTGGCCCATCTCTCCACTTACTAGCATTGATCTGCTCTTCTGAGAGCACCAAGAAGCAGCATTTACATCTTGGGCCTAAAGGTCAAGCAAGGGCAGCTGCCAGACATCATATATGACTACCCTGAGTCAGGCTTTAGGACAGGCATCCTCAAACTACGGCCCACGGGCCACCTGCAGCCCGCCTAGGACATTTATCCGGCCCACCAGGTGTTTTTGCTGTCACTGCCTGTCCTGTTAGCAGCCGACTTGTCCCAGGGCCCACAATCCGGCCCTCCAACGGTCTGAGGGACAGTGAACTGGCCCCCTGTTTAAAAAGTTTGAGGACCCCTGCTTTAGGATGTCATGTTTAAGCTCTCAAGGACCCATCTATAAGTAGCTCTCATCCCAATAGGGGCTCAAGGTAATGGTGTGCACTGAGCCTTTGCAAGTTCTTTCTCTGGTTTCTCTCTGCTCTACCTTCTGTTTTCCTGGGCCAGATGAACTGAGGCCCACCAGAGCACTGGCAGGAACCAGAGAGGTGTTTGTAAGCAGAGAACTCAGACCACAGTGACAAAAATGGAAGGAAGAAGGAAAAACTACTGGGGGCAAAATAGTCCAGGAATAATAATCCTACATCTGCCAAGAGACCCATGAGCAGGCCATACCCATAGGCCCTGTGAGGAACAGGTCTCTGGGTGCCATCTGAGCCAGCAGTGAGCCTGTTTGAGCTGGGGATACCCCATGGACTGGGATTGCCCCGCCTTGCCTGTGGTCTCAGCTGTGTCTCATCTCTCCAGTCTTGTCTTCTCACCCTAAAATGAGGAGCTCACCTAGACCCTGGGGCAAATGCTGGGTCTTTCCTTCCCTGTGGGTTCTGCAGTTGACTAGCTCAAGCAGAAGTGGGCATGGACTGGGTCTGGAAGGCTACTCAGTCTTAATTCTTAACTCACCCAAAAGGAGACAAAGAAATTCAGAGAATAGCTCAGTGAGTAGGGGTCCAGCCACATACGCCAAGGCTGACAGGTTCGAGCCTGGCCCAGGCCTGCTAAATAACAATGACAACTGCACCAAAAAACAGCTAGGCATTGTGGCAGGCACCTGTACTCCCAGGTACTCAGGAGGCTGAGGCAAGAGAATCGCTTCAGCCCAAGAATTGGAGGTTGCTGTGAGGTATGATGCCATGGCATTCTAGAGTGACACAGTGAGACTCTGTCTCAAAAAAAAAAAAGTTTCCCACCGAGTCAACCCTTCTTCTTCATCCCCTGATTGCATCAAAAATATTTAGAACAATATTTTATACCGTCTCCTTTTAAGGACTTGGAAGGTTCTGACACTTTTTTATTTATTTTTTTTAATTTTTAAAAATGAAAGGCTTTGCAAATAAGTGTTGCATTTAAAAATGACCAAAGGAAAGAAGCCCTGGGGTCTAGGTCCAGACAGAGTTAGATGCTAGTTGGGTGGGTGGGTGTGTAGGAGAAGGGTAGTAGGTGAGTGTGATGATGGCTGGGGAGGAGGGGGCATGGAGGTGAGTGGGTAGAAGATGGGTTCACTGAGCATTGGTATCAGAGCTAATCAATCTTTTTCTTCCTTTTCCTCACACCACAGGGAGAGGAAGAAGGTGATGAGGAAGAAGAGGGACATATTGTAGACGCTGAAGCTGAGGAGGGAGATGCTGATGCCTCTGACACCAAACGCAAGGAGAAGCAGGAAGAGGAGGTGAGAGGACTCTGCGGCTGGGGTGGAGGGACCCTCTTCTATTATCATGGATGGATTATCCCCTGGCACCCAGGCCACACCTGTGTCAAGCCAGGAACCTTGAAGCAAGACCAGCCTGCCCAGCACATCTCTCAATTGAGAAGATAGGGTTTATGGGTCAGGAATTTGGCAGGGGGCTGTCCTAAGGCTGCCCTCTGGATCTGGCCAGCTCTGGATTTGAGTAGGCTCAGGACCCAAAGAGGCCTCTGACAAAGAGAATTTGGACTGCCTGTCATTTTTATAATGAAAATACTCACTGCCTCCCCCAGAACCTATAGCCCACTCTCATAATGGCTGCAAGGGCTTAGGGCAGTTTACAGGGGCTGAGGGAATCCTCAGGTAAGACAGACAGCTCATGTGAGCAGGTAAGCCAGGGAAGGCTGTGCAGAGGGTGAGCTCCACCTCTGAGGGAAATTCACTGGGACGGACTTGGGGGGTATTCCCGGGGAAGGGCCAAAGGGAAGAAGGAGGAAGGCAGAGGAACCAGGAGCAGATGAGGCCTGGGCAGCCCAGGCCAACCAAGGCTTCATGAGGTTAGCTCAGTGGTTCTCAACCTGTGGGTCATGACCCCTTTGGGGGTCTCCTGTATATCAGATACTTACAATTCATAACAGTAGCAAAATTACAGTTATGAAGTAGCAATGAAAATAATTTTATGGTTGGGGGGGTCACCACAACATAAGGAACTGTATTAAAGGGTCATGGCATTAGGAAGGTGAGAACCACTGGGTTAGATGGTAGATGGCGGGGCCTGAGTGACACAGCCTGTACTCTGTTTCTGGCCAGGTTGATTATGACAGCGAGGAAGAGGGAGAGAAGGAGGAAGAAGAGAACGAGGATGAGGTCATGCAGGAGGAAGGGCACATCCATGGTAAAGGTGCTCAGGAGGCCCAAGAGCAAGATGAAGAGCTGGGTTCAGATGCCGAGGAGGACTCACCCACAGATGCCCCCCTGATACAGCCCTGGAAACCCACCGGTAGCCAGAAGCCCCAGGGAACTGAGGCCGTGGATCGCCGGGTCCAGGCTGTTTGTGAGATCCACTCATTCATAGAGGACTACCAGTATGACACCGAGGAGAGTCTGTGGTGTCAGGTCAGTGTGGCTATGCAGGCAGGGCCTAGGTGGTCAGGTCCAGCTGGCAGAGCACCCTGTGGGAGGGACCTGTGAGAGTCAGTTGCTCCTTTAATCCCAGATCCCTTTAAGAATCTGGTGGTGTCTATAGACCCTCTGCCCCAAAGCACAACCCACACATGTTATTTTCAAATCCCTAGTGAGCCAGTTCTCTCTGATCTTCCAAGGCATGTGTTTGTCTGATGTGCCAGCCCTCAGAGATACTTTTCAGATATATCACTGTCACTCCATTGTCTCCTGCCCACAACGGGGACACATGGTTCCTTATATACACAGCCTCTGGCTGCCACTCCTCTAGGGATTGTGTGCTTCCCTTAAGGGGTGGGTGGTCTGGATGCCTAGACATCCACACAGGCGTATTCTTTGCCCTTGTTTGATCCAGTTCAATGATTCCCAAATGTGAGTAGATCACAAAAACCACTGAAGTAGTCATGCATGTGCTATGTGGCCTTTAAGGGTGATGTCAGGTGGGCAGGAGTCTTGGCCTTGTCACCAACATCTGCAGAAACGTAGCTCTGCCTTTCCTCTCCCCCTACCCCTTTTCATCTGGGTGACTGAAGGTGGTTGCTCCATTTGGTTGGTTAAGCCCTCTGGAGCTCAGACCCTCCTGCCAGTTTGCCCAGTAGTCCCACCTCCCCCAGACAGCATGTTTACTAAGAAGGCTTTGGATGAATCTCCAGCCCAGCTCTCTATCCTCTTGCAGGTGACAGTGAAGCTCCCTCTGATGAAGATTAACTTTGACATGAGCTCCTTGGTAGTATCTTTGGCCCATGGTGCTGTTGTCTACATGACCAGGGGCATCACTCGGTGCCTCCTGAATGAAACAGTCAGCAATAAGAATGAGAAGGAGCTTGTGCTACACACAGAAGGAATCAACCTCCCAGAGCTCTTCAAGTATGCCGAGGTATACAGCCCCCTCCAGACTGTCTGTGGGCCTGGGATGAAGGAGTGGCCCTGACCTTACGTCCTCTCAGGGCCCAGCTGCTGGGAGGCTCACCTCCAGCCAGTTTACTCTGGCCCTCCCTGAGCCAGCCATGCTTTGGGCCCGCCTGCCAGGGATTCATGGTGCATATTAGCCTTATATGGCGCAAGGTCTGCAGTGCTGAAACCTCCTGAACACTATCCAACCTAGGGTTTCCCAAGCTGATTTGCATACAGTTTATTTCATTGAAATTAAAACCAATTCTTTTCTTCCTGTTGAATCTAAAGTGTGTCCCAAGTCATCCCTGGGTTCTGATAATGAATGACAAAAAGGCAGACCTTGGGTTCTGGCCATTGAGTTGTCAGCAGCTCTGCCTGGGCATTTCCTTTTGTTAATCCTGGGCCACCTCTCAGCCACTTTGTCTTCAGCTGTACTCAGCTACCAGACATAGGAGAGAGTGAGCAGCCAGACTGACATGTCCAGACAGGGAGCCAAAGGCCAAGCCTCTAAATAGATCCCTTCCTCCTCCCAGGTTCTGGATCTGCGCCGCCTCTACTCCAATGACATCCATGCGATGGCCAATACATATGGCATCGAGGCCGCACTCCGGGTGATTGAGAAGGAGATTAAGGATGTGTTTGCTGTGTATGGTAAGAGGAGTATGCAGACAGCATCCTGAAGGTCCCAATGCTAGTTAGGGCACCAAACCGCTCAGGGCACAAGGACCAGACTCGTAGCCTAGATGTGGAGAGTACGTGCCCATAGGGACTCTGTAGGCCTCCCTCTGTGGTGTCTGATCTGCTGGTCTCTTTGAGGAAGCTCGTGATTGATGACTTGGCTACATCCTGCCTTCAGGGTTTTGGTTCCCAAATGAAAACAGTGTGTTAGATTCTTGCTTCCAGTACTGCTGGAGGGAAATGGGAAGCAGGATACAGGGGTCAAGGGGAAGCTCCAGACCAAGTGGAGGTTTAAGCAGTGTGAGGAGGTGGCAGGACTCGGAGGGACCTCCAGCGTCTGACCCCTGAGCCCATGCACTGACATGGAGGTGGCAGGACTGGGAGGGACCTCCAGCATCTGACCCCTGAGCCCATGCACTGACATGGAGGTGGCCTGTCTTATGTCACCTGACACTTCCCCAACTGTCCCTCGTCACTGCTTATTTAATCCTTCCTCATTTTACTGTCCATGAAAACAGGCATTGCAGTTGATCCTCGCCATCTTTCTCTGGTCGCTGATTATATGTGCTTCGAGGGTGTTTACAAGCCACTGAATCGCTTTGGAATCCGGTCAAACTCCTCCCCTCTGCAGCAGATGACGTTTGAAACCAGTTTCCAGTTTCTGAAGCAGGCCACCATGCTGGGTGAGTGTGTGGGCAGGTGCCTAGCTTTCCCTCTCCTTACTCCACTCTGGAGTCTGATGGGCAGGCTGTCCCATAGGGCACCTGTCCATGGCGTCTCCACACTAGAACCTAGGGTGGGTAGACAGCAAACAGGCGGGAAAGCTGCCACGGGGCTGTGGAGGAACAGAAAGAGGGCTTTCCTTTCTCTCAGATGCGAGAGCAGGGCTGCCTCATCATCTTAGCCTCAGAGACTAAGGGTCACTCCTTGGGACCTCTGAGGTGCCCCATCCATACCACCTCAATGTGGAGCCTGTCAGCCCTCTCACATCACCCCCTCTTCCCTCAGTCATCTGACATAATGCTCTTGTGTCTCTCCCAGGATCCCACGATGAGCTGAGGTCCCCTTCTGCCTGCCTCGTGGTTGGAAAAGTTGTCAAGGGCGGGACAGGCCTGTTTGAACTCAAGCAGCCTCTGAGATAGCAGCTCCTGAGGCAGCATCTCATCCTCCAAGACCCCCACAGTGGCTGTGGCCTCAGCTGAGCTGCAGGAGGCCTCAACGGCAAAGTCCCTAGTGAACAGCCCCAGAGCCATCTCCTGGGAAGACCACAAGGAAGCAGTGCTTTGCTGCTGGGAATCCACACCTTCCAGGGAAGAGAAGTGGGATACCATTGCCATGAGCTGCCAGTGGCAGCAGGCAGGATTCCTGGGGGGTCCTGGTATGAGAACATGGAGCTTCTACCCCAAGGCCCACTCCTTCTGGCTATGGCAGCCCCTAGGGACAGAGTCGCCTAAGAGTCCCTGCGCATGGCTTCTTCCCTGGGCAAGTACAAGGTGACACAGTCCTCCACCCACCCAGCCTCTGTTCCTGGGCAGGCCCTGGCCCTAATGCTGTATGGCCAGCCCCAAGGCTGGGGACAGTCTCTAGGGCTCCAGCAGCTCACTCCCACACATAAAGCCCTGAGTCACCACTGGGTCCTTGGACAAGTTGCCTAGCTGTCCCTTGCTCTGCTGTCAGTTTGGTGTGAGGCCTGTGCCCATCCCCACTGCCCATCCCCTGCTTTGGGGTCATCCAAGCTCCTTCCATCCCTGGCACCAGCAGCACACTTCCCTGGCCGGCACAGAAAAGATGGAGAGGACTTGTACAAAGGCTTCTAAAACCAGAGGCGGTTTCTATTTTTGTCTACTGTTATTTCAGCTTAGGCTCAGTAATAAACATCACTGGAACCAGCTGTTAGGAAAGGAAAAAAGTTAGGTTTTGTTGTTCCTCTTTCATTTGCAGTTTCTACTTATCTCAAATCTTAAGTTTGAGAAGCCAGGAGTAGGATTTTCTTGGCAGAGTCAGATCTCGGGTCCTTCTGTTCTTGTCAGAGGACACTAGGGGAGAACACTCAGCCCCTGTATCATCTCCGGGCTCTGATCCTGGGTTGCCCCTGCATTTACCCGTGTCAAGGACAGGTAGGGGCCTGTGAGAAGGAGCTTTGCTCACCTGGGCCTGGAGTGGGAAAGCTGTTTGCTATGCCCTCGAGGGGTTGGGGCTAAATGGGTCGTGCCTGGAGAGAATGAGAACTTGGAGAGAGTGACCGTGATGTGGGGTCCAGCCTGCATTGGGGAAATCAGTACCTCCTAACAGGTTGACCAGGACATGGACACAGAGGTATATGACAACTGCCTGGAACTGTGCCCTGAAGAGGCTCAGCCTGCAGCATAAGGCATTCATTGATTGAGTTAAGTGCAAATTCACCGCTTGATAATTTCTACTTTTACTAGAATTGCAAGAAGGGAGTGCTTAAAGGAAATCCCAAAATAGCCTGGTGGCTGTGACATGAATGACCCGTGAGTGGTTCCGTGGGGTCAGCCCCACCCAGGCCCCAAGGGCAGGGAGGTGAAGGAGCAAGCCCTACATATTGGCAGAGCTGTGGCCACCACACTTAGATCAGGCCCCAGACCTATGTTGGGACCCCCACCCACGGGCTTCCTGGGCAGCTGTTTTACACTTGATAGCACACCTGGTTGCATGTCCTGGTGAGCAAGGACTCGGCTGTGGTCCCCTCTGGGATGCTCACTTCAGTCGTTCCCTCTGCTTGGAAGCCTCTGAGAGTGGCCTTATGGTGGTTTAAGATGGCATTTGTCTTGGGAGTATTCTCAGGATTATGAATACTTTATTTTAGGGTACATTTCAGTTTTGGAACAAGCCACAAGTAGGCCCACATCAAAACTGATGAAGAAGATAGATCAATTGTAATGGAGATTGTCTGGTGAGTTCCAAACGTCATTGGGAGCTGTGAGTTCTTCTAGAACCCTGAGGTGCTGTTAGCCAGCCAGCACCCCTTGGATGTCCTTCCTGCTTTGCCCCTGTGGTAGTGTCCATACCTACTTACTTGCTCATAACAGTTTGTTTTGTTTTTTTGAGACAGAATCTCATTTTGTTGCCCTTGGTAGAGTGCTGTGGCATCATAGCTCCCAGCAACCTCAAACTTGGGCAAGCAATTCTCTTGCTTCAGCCTCCGGACAAGCTGGGACTACAGGTGCCCGCCACAACACCCGGCCATTTTTAGAGACAGGGGGTGGGAGGTCTCACTCTTGTTCAGGCTGGTCTTGAACCCGTGAGCTCAGGCAATCCACCCACCTCGGCCTCCCAGAGTGCTAGGATTACAGGCAGTTTTTTTTAATTGTCACCTTTCTAGGTTCTCACCAGAAATACTATAGGCATTCCCATAGAAACTCCCATGAGTCTTTAAAATATTTCCTGTCCTGTATCAGGTGGAAACAAAACTGAGGACTGGATAATGTACCTTATCCCATTCCCAGTCTGAAACATAAACTTTCCATTTCTCTTCACAGTGCCCTACCCCTAAATACATGTACAAACATCTGTACTCCATTGAGTACTAACTCCCCATTCCTTCCCCCAGCCCCTGGCACCCACCTTTCTATTTGTATGGTTATTACTTGTCTAGGTAGTTTTGTGTAGGTGGAGCATATACCACATTTTGTTTTATCTACTCATCTGTTGGTGGACACTTGGGTTGCTTCCACCTCTTGACTTTTGTAAAAATAATACTATGAACATGGGTGTACACGTGTCTCTGAGACCCTGCTGCTTAGCAATGTTTTAAAGAACTGCCATCCTGTTTTTCACAGTGGCCGCACTATTTTGCATTCCCACCAACAGTGCACAAAGAGAAATGTTAATTCAACCAGTCCTTACAACAACATCCAGTCACTGAGGAGGGTACAGTGACTTCTCATTTTACAGTAACTCACCCCAGGGCACAGTAAACAAGTAGTCATGGAATAAGTACTAAATCCAGGCAGCTGGCTCCAGAGTGTGGGCTTCTAATCTCTCTGTCCTTTTTTGAGACAGAATCTCACTTTATCCCTTTATAATCCTGGGTGGAGTGCCATGGTGTCACAGCTCCCAGCAACCTCAAACTTCTGGGTTCAAGCAATTGTCTTGCCTCAGCCTCCCAAGTAGCTGGGACTACAGGCACTTGCAACAACGCCTGGCTGTTTTTTTAGAGATTAGGTCTCTCTTGCTCTTGCTCAGGCTGGTCTTGAACTCCTGAGCTCAAGCAGTCCACCTGCCTTGGCCTTCCGGAGTGCTAGGATTACAGGCCTGAGCCACTGTGCTGAGGAGCCTGGACCCCTAATCTCTTCCCTGTGCCCACCCCCTTGCTTGGACAGCCCCAGAGGGTGGGACTTACGTAGTCAGAGGCTGCCGATAAGGAATGTGGCAGGAAGTTGTGAGGGCACCAAGTGCCTCTCCAAGCCTGTTCTAGGGTGTGTCTAGGAGGTACAGACAGCACTTTAGTGGAGGGGGGTAGTATATGTACCTTGCCAAGCTCCCAAGAAATGAAACTGTGAGGACCTGAATAATGGACCCAAAGGAATTCCAAAGCTTTGGGGCTTCACTGCATGGCACCCATTACAAAGCACTTTTGTGGTATCTAATCCCCATGGCCCCAAGGCACGTGTCCTGTTGGCCCCATTTCACAGCTGGATAACTAAATCTAAAGGTGAAAATGATGCCTTAGAGGCGCCTAAGTCTCAGGGGAGCCAACAGGCCTGATGCCCCTCTCCAAACAGCACCTTTGCAGGTGTACCCAGCATAATGCTTGGCTTCTGGTGCAGGGCAACAGCTAGGTTCTGGTGAGCCGAGTGGTTAGCTGTCTTCTTTGAAAATAGAAAGGGGATGCTGAAGAATGAGATTAGGTTGGAGAAGAAGGGAAGTGAGGGTCCACAGAAGTCTGCAGATAAGTCTAGGAGAAGGTAGACAGGCTGAACAGGCCACCCTGCTTGCTGGACTTCTCCCCTGCTTTCCAGTCCTACCTCAAGGCCTGGCCTGGTTGGGCTCCCTGGAGTGGGCTGGCCAGCCCTGGCACACACCAGCTCCTCTCCTATGTCCTGCCACCTAGAGACTGCTAGATCCCATGGCTGGGCTGCCTGGGATCTCACAGGGTCCGGCAGGCAGGCCTGGGAAATGGTGATTCCCCTCCACCGGCAGTCTGACTCACTGCACTTCTCCACATCTGGTTGCACTTCTGCATCCAGTGACCATCTGGCCAGCCCAGTTCCAGACTGCTCTGGGTACAAGGCCCTGTCTTTTATTTTCTCTCTGTGGTCCCAGTTTTAAATGCTCAATAAAATGTTGGACAATGGAGGAAGGAAAGAAAGGGAGAGGGATTTGTCTGTGGTCCTCAAGATGAGGATCTTTTTATCCCTTATTTTCCAGAGCACTTGAAGGAGTGGGGGGTAGGGAATCGGCAGGAAAGCATCCCATAAGAACTTGTTAGAATGCAAAATTCTCAGGCCCCCACCCCAGATGCCTGGGTCAGAAAATGCACAGTGGAGTCTGATGGCTGTGTTTTAAGCTCTCTGGGGGAGCCTCACTCATGCTCCAGTTTGAGAAGCACTGCCCTAGAACTGTCATGAGGAAGCTACCTTACCTCTGGTGCCTGTCCTCTTTTTAGCTCCTTCAGCCTCAGAATTCTCCTGGGCTTGTGAAAATATAGCCCCAGGGTCTCTCAGCCTTTGTAGCCCATAGCTCTCCAGTACCCCACTTTGACCCACCAAGAGGGCAGCTCAGGAGGGCCCTCAGCAGCAGATCCACAGCAGCAAGTGTGGAATAAGCATCACCATCGTCTCTGTGCCTTCATGTTCACTAATTCATCTGAACCTCCTAACAGTCCAGGGGGCATGCAGGGCACCAACACTAACACCAGCACCTCTTTTATAGATGAGAGGGACTCAGAGGTGTTAATGGTTGTGCTCCCTTCAGAACTTTTCAACTATTGGGAACAAGGTCTGTGCCTACAAAACAGTTAAACTTTTTGTACCTCTGATGGGGTGTGGGGCTCCCACAGACCCTCTGCCACCAAAGCCAGGTGAGGGGAGACTAGGCAGGACATCCTAGGGCCTGGTACCTTCCTGTGGTGCTGGTACACAGCGCTTTCCTGGATCCCAGCACAGCACACCAGCATCTCTGACCCATATAAAATCCTTTATGTTTAAACATTCTCTGGAACCAGCAATCTCATTTCTGGGTATGCACGCAAAACTATTCAAAGCAGGGACTTGAGTTATTTGCACATTCATGCTCATAGCAGCATTATCGACAAGAGCCAAAGGTAGAAACAGCCCATGTGTTAAACAGGTGAATGGAGAAACAAAATGTGGTATGTACAGCCAGTGGAATATTATACAGGCATAAAAAGGAATGAAATTCTGACACGTGCTAGAATCTTATTGACATGCTAAGTGAAAAAGCCAGACACAAGAGGACAAATGCTGTATGATTTCTTTTATATGAAGTACTTAACAATAGTCACATTCACAGAGACAGAAAGTAGAATGGTGGGTGGCACCTGTAGCTCAGTAGGTAGGGTGCTGACCACATACACCCACACTGGCGGGTTCAAATCCAGCCCAGGCCTGCCAAACAACAATGACAACTACAATCAAAAAATAGCCGGGGGTTGTGGCGGGCACCTTGTCGTCCCAGCTACTTGGGAGGCTGTGGTAAAAGAATCGGGAAAGCCCAAGAGTGAGGTTGCCGTGAGCTGTGATGCAACAGCACTCCACTGAGGGTGACAAAGTGAGACTCTGTCTCAAAAAAATAATAATAAAGTAGAATAGTGATTGCCAGGAACTGGGGTGAGGAGGGAATGGGATTAGTGTTTAATGTGTGCAGAGTTTCGATTTTGCAAGATGAAAAAGTTCTGTAGATAGTATGACAGT